CCCCAATGTTCATCCTTGTTGACAGAATCGGGTAGCGTCCTTCTGGGCCTCTCTTTCTTCCCTCTCAATGGCCCACATTTCTTCGCACAATTGCGAACCGCACAGGGGTGACTGCGTACCCTTGCGTTCCCCGAAAGCCCTCGGTTTTTCGCGATGCAAAATCGTGGAACGAAAGGGGTGCTTGCGGCCGGTACTCGCGGCATTGTCACCGTCGGTGTTCGTTGCGTTCCCATTATTACATCATAATATTATATTCGCGACTTCCGTCGTCGATCGTTTGTTCCGTGAAACAGGGTGTTATGTGTAGCCACGTGCGCCTCCGCTTTTGTCCCCTTATTAAGCGCTCTTACCCCCGCTGGTAAACGCTATGAGCAGCTACGTTTCTAAACCGTTCCTTCCTTCGCGTATCCCCGTTTACACAGGCTGCACGTGCTCTCTATGGTGCTTTTCAATATTTACGCGTATATTAGACTCGACGAGATAATCCTGCCCGCTTAAGGAGCTCTAGTATTTTTAAAGAAAACATTGAACGCGATAAAACGGGTCTATGGTGGCAGTGGACGGGTTGAAAAGCAACGGGTTGTTCGAAGCTCGAGATGCAGAAAACTTTCAACCCTTTCTGAAAAATTACATATTACACTTGCGGCGTTATTTTCTTGATACGTTACGATTAAAATATTTTTTTTTGCTAACGGAACGATGAAAGTGTAACGATGGAACTGGGCCGAGTTTACGATTCTCGCGGCGTACACGGCGCATCGAATACCTGCGACGAAACGATTGTTGCATCAAATTGTGTACGTACGGGATGCAGATGTGCATACACGCGACCGAGCACGCTCGTACAAGGCTCATTATCGTCGCTCGTTGCATATCAAGCCGAAAGCCTGTCCGCCAACGACCGACCGTCGATCCTCGGCACGAAGAACAGTGTCAGCAGTTGACCAAACCAATTCGTATTGACCTCTTGTAACTTGACAAAGTGTTAATATTGTATTAAATTGTGAATAAACAAAGATAGAAGGAAAATTTGGGTAATTTTCGTCTCGTCTCTCCCTGTTCTCTCGGGAATCGCGAAGCCAAAGTCCGCGATATTTGCAACCGAGTCGCTATTTATACCATCCTCGAGGAAGAAATAAAAGCGACGTCCATTAAGGTGGGAATGTTTCCTCGTGGAAACAATGTTTTAAAGTGTAATCGCGAAGGAAGTCGTCGATGATGGAACGGGTAAGCTGTGTCGCTGACTTTCCATGTCAGATGAACGGATCTATTTTAGTGAAACGAACGTCTGGAGACTCGTGTAAATACTCGCTAAGCGTAAATCGAGAGGCAACATAGCGGAAGAATTCCAAAGGAACACGCGTGTTCGGCGCTCGACTTCGTCTCGACGCGGAATGATTCCAACGGAACGAGCAATTCCACGAGTCAGACCATAAAAGTCTCGAAGATTTCATTGGGGCAAAAATTAATTTACGACGATGTAAAGGAGACCGACAAAACGGGGAAGGGCGGAGAAGGTAGACGGTCGAAGGAGGTCTGATTAAGAATTCTATAAAGCGGCGGGCAATTTGAATAATTAGGCGTGGATCGCATTGATATTGCACGCGGCACCTGCGCCATTCTCGACGAATACCTTTTTTTCTTTCCCCAATGGAATCAATTGAACACCAGCCTCGAGTAAATTGCCACTCTAACGGAGGCAGGCTCATTAAGGCCGCTTCTTAGCCGAAAATTTATCACCTTGCATCGAGGCTTAAGCGGGGAACGACGTGTACTCCTTTGCGGGGAATCCTTTTACTGAAAAATCCGTGACCGTACGGTCTCGACGCGACCCCATTCGTCATTTACATTTCACGAAACGGTCAATCAAGCTGGAACTACTTTAAAGAGATTTTCTTCAATTGATTTTCCACTCGACGTGTACTATTTCTCAGTAAATTTATCCAACAAGATTTCTCGAAGGAAACGAACCATCATTTTCGCGTGATAGATTGCGAAAGCGTGTTTCCGGTCGTTAGTACGAGCAATAAAACAACCTGGAAGAGACGTCGTTTTTCTCGTTATTGTGTCACCGTCCCACTTCTACAGGTACACGGTTCCTTCTTATTATGCAGAGAACATTTTCTTGTCTCGTCCGTATCCGCGATTCTGACCCGTGTTCCTCTTTTACCGGTAGTTTTCATGAGATTTTAGTAGACCTTTTAAAAGAGCATACGCCTCGGTTCTTAGCGTGGTATTTGGCAGAGTGCATCGCTGGGTCTTTGCACCGTTCGTTGCACTTTCGTGGTTGAACTTCCTAAGAGGAGCTGTTCGTTTCTAAATGTCATTCGTGCCATAAATGTACCACAAAATAAAAAAAAAATTCTAATTTCCAAAGATATTATTGAATATGCAATCCTCTCTATTGTGTGCGCGATCGGTGACATCGAAATTCAACGTGCAAAGAAAAAGCTGGTCAAAGATCAGCAACAATAGATTGTTCCTCCATCGGCCTTCCCCTGAACCCTTGCGAACGGGGTCACCTAACGAACATCGCCATTTGCATAAAAGGCTCAGGGGCGGATTTGCATCGCAAGCGACGCAAACCGTGTACTTACGAGCGTCTAATTGAATATTTCATTCGAGGACAGCCGCTGTTTAATATCTTGTAACGAGATACAATGCATACCGAACGCGTGATAGGTAGCTGTATCTCTCACATTGTAACATCGTTGCAAGTTGCATTCCGCTTGCAAGGATGATCGCGATGCCTCCTCTTTGCTCGCTTGCAACGGGAACGGTCGTTGGAAAATAAACCGATGAAGATCGCGTGGGTGGCGCCGAAGGTCCCGTGGGTTCTCGATAGGAGAGCAACGAGAGGAGGGCTCCGAAAATTCGCGAAATATTTATAGAACGCAGCTGCAGAATCGTGACTTCGCATCTCGTCGGTTATGTTTCTGCGTTCGCGTTCGCACGGAAGCGGATTCGACGACCTATGCGACGTAACGGTGCGTAAAAACCGTGAGGCGCAACGGGTCATTAGTGGGAAAAATCATTTGTCCCATTAACGGTACATCGCGACGTCCTTTCGAATTCGTCGCGTGTCTCGCGTTAAGTTTGTCGCATAGAAAGAAGAACGGTAGCCGTTGGACTTGGCGAGGAACAGGAGAATCTTCGTCGCGTGATACGAATTCCTAAACGGAATTAATTAACCGCAATCGCACCCTCGAACGATTGCACGCGTCACGGTTCGTCGCGTTCGCCATGTGGTCTTCCTAATAGCCGAGCGAAACAACGCGGTTCGGATTTTCGTCGGCAGCGATTTCGGGGGTAGGTCCTGGCCGTTAAATCGAGCGGATACGGAGCGGTCGGCTCGGGACAGCTGTGAAAATTCCTTTTCCGAGTTGAGTCGCGATACCCGTGCACGTGTGTGTCCCGTGTATAGGAGAAAACCAGCTTGGTTTTTCCCTGGTTTCGAGAGGCGGCGAGGGATGAAACCCTTGGAGCCAGCCGACACCCTTGTCGTCGTCGTCTTCGCACACAAGGGGTTGTCTCCCGACAGCCACTCAGGAGCGGGTCGGTCGCTCGTGCGAAAGAATGGACACAAAGAAAGGGGGAGGGTGCCAAGTCCGGGACGCATCTTTGCGTATGTGCATGGACTATTCTGAAAGGCTCATTGTAACCTTCTTACAAGGGACGCCTACTTTCTTGCGGGAAAGGAGGAAGAAAGAGGATGCATTTACATACACGCGACCGAGAATCGAAAGGAAAGAGTAGGACGGTAACGGTGGAGAGAAAAGAAGAGCGTGCTCGAACGGTCGCGAGCTACTGTTCTGCTGGAAACAAACGTTCGAGGAAGTCTTTTGAAGAAGTTTCAACCCTTGAGAATTTTTTTTCTCTCGGTTACTTCGAGGGAGACTCCCATGTGTAATTAGCGTATCGCTGCTGGGATACCTTGACTCTCGCCAATTAAAGGGGTCGTCGATGTTGCAGGAGGAATAATAGCGCATCGTCGACCGCATTGCGGCATGGAAAGACCAATATTAATACATATAAAACACGGGAAATCTTGTGACAGAGGAAAAAATGGTCCAAACCTTAGAAATTTGATAGCCATGGAAATGATTTGTTAAGGCAACAATATAAACAGAACCCCGGGTAACCACGTGGTCGTTAAAACCACTGGCTGCGTAAATCATGTCAGATAGGAAACGTCATGGAATTGTGACGCACGTGTGCCGGATGCATGCGGGGTCCGGTGCATCGAGGAAAGAAAAACATTGAAAGTTCTTACGCCTTTTCGAGCTTAGACCGTGTGCGTTGGAGTCTAACGAGGATCAGGGTTTAAGGCTGCGGTCAGAGACTTGGGAAGTCGTACATTCGCGACCGCAAGTGAAATTAAATCTACGGAGTTATTACGCGGGATGGGTCTAGAAGAGAAACGAGTATGAGCTTCGTAATAATTTCGAGTCTAAAAATAAACATTTAATACTCGAAGTTTTATTAAAAGAGGGAAGTTTATTATGGGAACTCTTAAGAGGGCTAACTAGTCTAACCTGGTTCAAGTGTCGTGTAATATCGTTTACTTTAGGATACGTGGAATTTTAATAGGATCTAACCTTCACGAGCCAGTTATAATGGCACCATTTACAAGGGTCTTTATCGTCCCTTTGGACAGATCAATGTACGGTGGGTGTTTATCGCGATGTCAACGTCCGATGCACCCTCGTGCAATCTCTCCCCCCAACGAATTAGGGATGTTTTCTATTTCCGGAATCGCGAAACTGTACAAAGGGGCCGACGATGAAGGCAATAAACACGCGCGTCTATTACCACCGTGTTGGATCTTCATTGATCAATTGACGTCCTCCCTTTAAGGAGCATTAAACAATCGACCCCATCCGAACACCGACCAATCGACCGTGTCCGTCTTCGTGATACCCTACAATTGCGTATAAATATTTCAGGAACTTATCGTTAATAATATCGTTTAACAAATTTCTTTCGTTGTTTTTCTACAGACATCGCCATGGACTGGTCGGACCACGCGTTATGGTGGCCCGACAGGAATCATTGGCTTACCAGAACGAGAAGCACGCTCGATCAGTACGGCGTTGCCGCGGATGCTGTTCTTCACTTCACGCCAATGCACAAAACCCTGAGGGTACAGCTGCCGGATATGCGTTGCCTCGACTGCAAGGTCGACTTCTCCGTGAAAACGTTCAACGCCGTGATCAATCTCTGCAAAGAATTAGGCAAGTCAGTTTTATTTTTAGTAGAGTCGAAATTAACATCCTGTCACACCAGGGAAATATAGTACGTTATTGCAAATGGAAAAGATAAATGTATACCAGAGGATCGTACGGGCAGACGCGAAAATTCGTTGGCGTTAAACGGTGTGTAAGGTCGTTGGTTTTTAAAGAGATTCAAGCACACGTTGCCCATCGAGCACGACACCGTGGCCGCGTGACGGTGCTAATTAGCGACGGTAATGAAATAAAATTGTTAAATTCTCAGTCACGCGAAGGTCACGGGTGGCTTCGTGCCTGAACTTCACCGCGACAGCATGGTAGGCAAGCTTTTTAATCAAGGAAGTGGTTCGCCGCGATAACGAAGGCATTGTATCGGTATCCCGGGACTATGTTTTCCTTCCTTTGTCATGTGACACTTGGAAAGAATAATTGATCGATTCATTCAATCGTTGTGCCCATTCGCGAAGTAACTCATTAACGCGACGATTATTAAATCGACTTTCCTGTTTCTATGTTTTTTTCGTCCACGTGGTCGTGGACGGATGACCTCGTCGATAGCTCTCATCGTGTCATGCTCATAAATAGCTATCATAACGTAAGCTCCTCGTTTAGCAAATAAATCGAAGGCAAAATGAACAAACAAATTACGAAACGAGGAATTATGGAGAAATCGACGAGTACTTTAACGTATCTATGCAAATTTCGACTTGACATTAATTTATCACCTTGAAAAATTTGTCAACTAACCGTGAATTTCTTCGCGTACAGGTATCAGACACCCGGAGGAGCTGTCTTTCTGCAAGCCCCTCGAGCCGAATCATCTGAAATACAATCTGAAGGATCTGCCGGCGAAGAAGAAGATCGAGCACCAGAAAAACGGGCACTGGAACGTGCCGGCGGACACGAATACCTTCATTCCGGTGAGCCAGAGTCCCAGGGGATCGACGGGTAGCCTGGACCAAAGCAGCCCTTTCATGTGCGCTCCGGTCACACCCAACAACAGAAATCACAGCACGCCGATCAGCTCTCCAGTCTCGGTGAGTGTTGAAAAATAATACCTAAAGAAATGGATTAAGCGTTGCTGAGTTAAAATTCTTAGAGGTATTTCCTTTTGAACGATGATCGTGTATCGAGGGTACGTAAGGGTCTATGTAGGATCCGAGATAGCAGAGCAGCCGGATCGGACCTGTTATGGTAATAAATAATCTCGCGATCGAGAGCTCGTTCCCGTGGCTATGATTTATCGATATTGGCCTATCATTACCGCTTACAGAGCCGTTCCTCTTGGAAAGCTAATTTGCTTCTCGCGAGCGGCCCCGTTTTTCCAACCTCCCTGGTAATCATTAGGTGGTATTTATTGCTCTCGCTGTTGCAACGAGTAGAGTAACCTGACTTACGCTTCTCTCTTCTCCAGCAAACCGGTACCTGGAAGAGGAACAACAATTCGTCTGGTTTTGGTAGCACCGGCTCTTTCAATGCGAACAACAGTACAATGAGTCTGGAGGCGTTGAACGGAGGACTGTCAGAGTCCTTGGCCCAAAGTCCGACCACGGTATCACCGGAGGTACGGGCTAAATTGATAAGGCCGAAAAATCTGGTCGAACGAGCCAGGATGAACGTGGCCTGGCTCGATTCCTCCCTGTCGATCATGGAACAAGGGATCCGCGAATTCGACACCCTACGATTGAAGTTCAAGTTCTACTCGTTCTACGACCTGAATCCGAAAACCGACGCCGTCAGGATCAACATGATTTACGAGCAAGCCAAATGGCAGCTGTTGGCTGAAGAGATTGACTGCACCGAGGAGGAGATGCTGATGTTTGCCGCTCTTCAGGTATGGATTAACTCTGTAAGCGAATGAAGGGTAGCGGGAGCAGTGAAACATTTGAAAGGGTAGAAATCTTACCACTTCGTCCAGACGCGTCCCGCTTCGCCGGAGATTCGCGGGGCGAGACGGGCCAGCTGCGCAATCGTTTACGCGGTAACGTTTTCACGATCCAAACATCCGGCGCTGGTGGACCGGATCGATCTATATATACGCGGGGAATGAGTCTCGGTAAGCGGCAGACGGAAATAGCTGGTGATGACACGGGAGATCGCGACGCGACGCAGGGAGGACTGGTTTCTGAAATTGAAAAATATCGAGATGATCGAAGCGTCTAAAGATAGAAATGAAACGGGCCGTTGCAAGGAGAAAAATTTTTACCTCCACTTTGCTGATTGCATCCAATTAAAGGCATCCGATCCGCCCGGTGCGTGCGACCAGTCGTCGCGATCCCGCGAATCCCTCGATCCTCGTTTCCTTAAGTCGATCGACTGCTCCGTGTTTGTTCTTTCCCGGCACGCCCATCGATTTCACGATCGCCGCACACGCGGTATCGATAAAAGGAGCGTAGGTATCGCGTGGACAGATGACGTCAACGGTCCGCGTATGATTGCAGGTGCAGGTGAATCTTCAGGCTAGCGTGCCGCAGCCGAGTTACGACAGCAACGGCGCCTCCTCACCCGTCGAGGATGACATTGACGCAGCCTTGACGGATCTCCAGGTGACCCTGGAAGGCAGCAACATTAGCAACGGTCCAAGCGATATCACTCAGGTGCCGGAACTGTGCGACTACCTGCGCTTCTTGAAGCCGAAACGTTTCACCCTGAAGGCGTTCAAACGCTACTGGGTCACGTGCAGGGACCTTCACCTGAGGCTGTACAAGAGCCGGGAGGAGACGAACAGCAGCGAGTCACCTGCCTACGTGATCAATCTGCGTGGTTGCGAGGTCACGCCTGATGTCCATCTATCGCAAGGCCGCTACGGGATCAGACTCGAGGTGCCCAGTGCTGAGGGCATGACCGAGATGTGGATCAGATGCGACAACGTGAGTGCACCTGGCTTCACCCACACCACGACCTTCTCATCTGATAATTCCATCGCGACCAGCAATTAGCGCCTGTTTCATAATGGTCTTACATCGTTGGTGTACGTTGCAGGAACAACAATACGCCAAATGGATGGCAGCCTGCAGATTAGCGGCCAAAGGACGTTCCCTTGCTGATGCATCGTACGAGAGCGAAGTAAACAGCATCACAGCATTCTTGCAATTGCAGAGGCCTGCACCTGCACCAGCGATCAGTCCAAATTCTCTCGACATCGTCCCGGATGACTATGTCGCCCCTAGATTCGTGAAGAAGTTCAAAGGAAAGGTATGTGAGTCCAGCTGTAATTCAATAATTGACTCGAGGTATTCTTCATCCTAAATGGCTAAATTTCTTCCTTTCGATGCAGTTGGTTCAGAGGATCCTGGAGGCACACACGAACGTCAAGGATCTCCCGTTGGTCGAGGCTAAATTGAGTTACATAAAAGCTTGGCAATCTTTGCCCGAGTACGGGATTTCGTTATTCGTGGTCAGATTCACTGGAAAAAGTAAAGATGAATTGTTGGGCATCGCTAATAATAGGCTGATGCGAATGGAACTTCACAGTGGTGATCATTTGAAAACTTGGAGATACAACACGATGAAGGTAAGGAGATGAATTAAACGTGTTTCGACTTAAATTTGTAAATAAAAACTGTTCGTTGAATCGATGCGTTTCGTTTGTACAGGCATGGAACGTTAACTGGGAGGTGAAGCACATGATGGTTCAGTTCGAGGAAGAAAACATTATCTTCGAGTGTCAATCAGCGGACTGTAAGGTCGTACACGAGTTCATCGGAGGTTACATATTCCTGTCGATGCGATCGAAGGAGGCGAATCAAACGTTGAACGAAGAGATGTTCCATAAACTTACAGGGGGATGGGTTTAAGAAACCGTGATGCATCTATGAGGAAAAATATAGATGAAAAGTGTACTTTGCCTTGATCTGAAAAAGCAGCACCACGCGTTGGTTGACAATTTTGTAAAAATACTTAATTCTATAGACGAACTTATATTGTATTTTGTAAATAGGAAATTGTATCGCCTGTATACAACTGCCTGTCCAGCTCGTAAAGGGGTACGACTTTTTATCTCACCTTAGGAAATAACTCGTTCTTAGCGAATTTATCGTTCATTCAACATGCAATCTTTCGAGGGTGATTAATCATGAACCTGCGAAGACAATATGTGTAAAGCGATACACGACTTGTACATGATGCAGAAGTGTTTTTATCCGCTAAAGCCTTTATAATGGGATACAAATGTAATTGTATTTTGTAATGGTGAGAAACACGCACAGCACAATCGACCCAGGACAGAGCAAACCGCGCCCTTTTGTACACGCGAGGCCGTTGATTAAGGTCATGAACGAACGAATATTTTCACAGTGACAAGCATGTTCTTTGAGCTATCCTGTAGACTCATCTTCACTGACAATCTTTCTTTTTTTTTTCTTTTGAATCGCCAAGCCGATCTTTCTCAGAAAATACATGTATTTTTAACATCACTAGGTGCTACCCCGAGAGAGATCGACAGAGACGACGCATCGAAACGTGTAAATTATTTGTTGTTTTAATGTAAACTATATATATTAAAAAAATATTTACTTGTAATGTTACATATTATCTACTTATATATGTATAATGTCACGTTATCGAACGTGTAATCAAAAAATTATAGTTTTGTATATTAATAGACGTTAGTTGTACAATAAACTTAATTATTATTATTAATATGTTCTTCTACTTACTTTCGACGACATCAAGTACACAGAAGAGGCACCTTTAAAATCGTGAAATTCTTTATTAAAATATGAGTTATTAAAAACCATGTATAGAAAAATGAACTATAAACATTTGTAGATTGAAAGATGCACAGATTACTGTGCATCCGATCGACGTCCGACGTGCGAACGACGTTGGTTCATCCTTGTCGGTTCTGTTTGTCGTCATTAAACAGCGGACAATTGCGTGTTCTTCCCTGAATTGTCCACAGACTTCGCGGCGTTACCTTGATTTTGATTCTCAGAGTTCTTGGACGATGCTAGTCCTTTGAGTACCAAGGGTACGTTGCAACCCCCTGCAGCTCCTCCACCGACCAACTTTCCGCCGCCTCCGCATGCCTGACCAAAACCATATTGCCTGAAACCCTAGAGTATTGGTAAAAAAGTAAATAAATTACCTGTGGATGACTAGGAGGCGCCGAGTGCACGAGTCGACCGGTAAGAGATCCTGGTTTCTCCTTCTTGGTCCGCACCCATTCGTGGCCCAGAACTCTTTCCAGCGTTAGCCTCAACGTAATGTCCGGTTCTAAAATATGTTTAACGATACTCTTCGCTAACGCTGACACAGTTTCTCGTACTCGTGACCGGAACATCCAGTTCCTCGACATCTGGTCCTTCAGTAACTTCTGCAAGTTGGAGTCGTCGAACGGCATCGATGCGTTTAGCATGATGAATAAAATAATCCCGAGGGACCAGACATCGGCCAGTTTTGGGTTGTACGGTGTACCAGAGACGACTTCCGGTGCAGCATACGCAGCAGAGCCGCAATAGGTTTTACTAAGAACGCGCCTACCCTCGTGGTCAACGCAGAATCTGGCGAAACCAAAGTCTGCCAATTTAACATTGAATTTCCTAGACAACAGTATATTCTCGCATTTCAGATCACGATGAGCGATGTTCTTCCCGTGAAGATAGTGGAGACCGGAAGCCATCTGTCTGAACCAGAGCTTCGATTGTTGCTCCGGTACAGCACCATTTCTGTCGACAAAGTCCAGGAGGTCACCGTTGTCGGCGTAACGCATGAAGATGAAGACTCTTGGACCACGCTGCAGTATACTATGTACCTGTAATTGTTTGTTCCTATTCTGACAACTGTTAATTAGCGTGTTACTTAGAATTCCATTCGTTTCGTCCAGGATTGTTCCGTTCCCATCGGGTGTCATCTTACTTGAATGATATGAGGATTTTCGATCTTTGTAAGGATTTCAAGTTCACGGGGGAAGAATTTGTCGAGGAAGTCGGGGGGTGCTTTCTCTTTGTCGAATATTTTACAGGCTAATCGCAATTTCTTCGAGCTTGTTCCGTCGACATACTCGGCCAGGTGTACCGTCGCGTACGATCCCTAACGTTTACAAAGTTTCGATTAACGTTAATTACATATATTATTACAACAGAGAACATCAGACAGAAAGTATAAAACCGGTAAATATAAAGCACGCGTCAACGTGTATAATTGTAGAAAAGAAATAAATGAAATATAGCTGTGTATAGAGGAGAGATAAGGAGAACAGGTAGAAGAGAAGAGAGGGAAAAGGTTAACGAACTGGGGTGGGATTAACGGGTTAGGGGTAAATAACCTGTCCGATTTTTTTGCCAATAAGATAGCCTCGCTGCTCAAGCGCGTTCACCTCCGAATTTCGGGGGCTGAGTGGCGTGGCCATGCCAGTGGATCTTCATTGGACTTCTGATCCTGATAACAGATAACCAACTCTCCCTCTTTCCTCTTCACTTTCTCTGCGCACACACATACGTGTTTCTCTCTATTCCTGGTCTTTCTACACCAGATAAGCGTTATTCCTCTTGATTTTACACACTTTCCCTTGAAACACTATTCGATCAATTTTGTCGCAACAGATCTATATAAATCTAGCTCCGCCTCAGGAGCTGAATAACGTCTTGTCAAGTTCTACGTGGATGAAATTAAGTCGAGGATCCGTTCCGTCATTTCAAATGGCTGTGTGCACTAGAATTTTGAGCGTCGAGACCAGCTTGTATCTGGTACGGAACGGGGCAGAGGAAAAGATCCGGGTCTCATTCGAACACAGCCATTATATTTGAAAAACAATGTACGGTTGTGCCGTGATTGCGACTTTACCGTGGTCGATTGCAACATACATTCAGATCGCTCGTTTGCCTTCCTCTCGAATATACTAGATTTTCAAACGATACAAAATTAAATATAGAATGAGTCAACGCGTGTTGACTTACGAAGATTTTTTATTAAACAAAATTATACATTGCGTAAGAATTACGCGGCCGGATCGTCACCCTTGGTAGTACGTGTGTATATTAATTGCGCATGGTGCTGTACAACTTGTTTAATGAGTCCTTTCTGTTGCAACTCAATCAGGGCCCTCCTGGCAAGGGATCCGCGAATCTTTAATCTTTCGCTAACGATCGATGGGGTGATTAATTTGTATTGTGGCACTTCTTTCAACAGTTTTTCATATGTGCCTTTGTCAAACAACACCTGGTTATTTAACTTGTCGCGTACTTTTCCTTTAGACCACTTCTGCAATAAGAAGAAAACAGATAATGTAACATTTGTTCAAGTACAACTGGAAGAATGTATTTATTAAAATATTGTATCAGACTCATTAAATCAGCATTCTACTTTCATTGTTTGTCAAGGCTATAAGTGTTCATCATTTAAAAGCTATTGTACAGAAATCCAACAGCTGAAGAGAGCATAATACAAACCTTCTTTTTGGCTTTGCCGCCAGATCCTCCTTCCTTCTTTTTCTGTGTTTTTTGTGGCTGCTTTGAAGACCCCTTTGTATCCTTTTTAGGCGGCTGAAACATACAAATAAAAATTAATAAACTGTTCCATAGATGGACATATCTTATTTGGACGTAGAATACTATTCAGGCTCATTAAATCAGTATTTTGCTATCATCGAATTGATCTAGAATGAGTTTTTCATCATAATGTTTTATCTAACAAAATATTAAATATTCAATAACATACTTCACACTCTTAATGTATATTGCAATAATTTCTCAATGTGTCAACAAAACATTTGCAAAATGAAGGAGGATAGATAATGACATATCTAGAAAACTAAGTAAATTGCTGTTCTTAATAATGCATAATAAGCGATACATTTGTATTGAGTTAGCTTAGAAGTATTATAAATAAAATGAAAGAGTGTTGGGATAAAATATATTCAATACATTGTATACACCATGTGGATGAAATCACTCGAAAAGGTTATCCACTTTATCACGTGCAAAATCAATAAGAAATCCTTCGGTTAATGTTTAAAACAAAAGCACCACACTACTCGGAAGGGAAACTGCTATTGTATTTATAAAAGTTCTTCAGTTAAATACAATTAAAACATAAAGAAAAACGTTTTCCCAATTACTCACCATGATGGCTGTCGACTCGGAAAGAAAAGGGAAGTACAGGTATCGCCATCTCTACTGTTAATCATTTGCAGTGCCCTCTATTTTACTACATTAATCAGTACCATTACCAAAGACACAAGAAAATTAAAAAAATTAATGATTGCGAGTAAATAGATTAATTGATCACTTATGTTAATTTTTCCATTAAAAAAGTATGTAATTTAGCAAATTAAATTGCACGGATCGTGCATAATATCGAATTTACCTGTCAGTCACTCAGGAGTGGCTGCAATGTATAAAGCATGGCGCCACGCTGTGTGTTTTTAAGGCCCGGTTCTTCACAATTTTGACCCTCTCACAAAATGTATTCGCGTTAAGAATACTATCTAGTATCATTCAATCAATTACAGACATCTGTTTTTATTTCACTTTGGACAAAAAGGTAATTTCGTCTTCGTAGAAATATTCGTGTAAGGTTAAGAATCCTTTCACTGTTGCTACGTGTCATTCATGTTTTTATTCCATAGAAGTCGTTAATGATAACTGTGTAGATTGAATAATTTAATTGTCACGATTGTGACGATTCATCGTAAATTGTGTATTTTATTCAAAAATTTGGTTTTTGGTATAACTGGTGAATGTCATTAACCGATAAGCGAGAGTACCGTTTAATCAGCTGTATGTTCAATAGTTTATGCTTGACATATTTTTAACTCTGTTCCGTGATTGTTTTTGTTTTAGTAAAGAATTCTTACTGAAATACTTATATTAATTGTATATATTATAGGTTCGTTAAGAAAACAATATTTTTAATAAACATATGTGAAATATTAAATTCTAAAAAAAAATTATTTTCTTTCTGATTTTAGGATCATCATTACTCACAGGAAGAATCCTGACATCTATACAAAATGCTTCCACTTTCGCACAAAGACTCTAGAAACATTGGTAGTCGGATATTAGAGAAGGTACTAAGCTGGAAACGTTTAATATTTTCTGATAAGAACACCAGGAATTTATTTTTATTTCTTCTCCTCAATTTATCCTTTGCCTTCATTGAATTACTCTATGGAATATGGACAAATAGTTTGGGCTTGATATCAGACAGTTTCCACATGTTCTTTGATTGCACTGGTCTGCTATTTGGTTTGGCTGCATCTGTTATAACAAAATGGAGAGCAAATGAAAGATATTCTTATGGTTATGTTAGAGCAGAAGTATTGGGAGGATTTGTCAATGCTCTGCTATTATTCTTCATTGCTCTTTTCATTATGTCAGAAGCAGTTGAGAGGTCCATTGAACCACCAGAGATAAAACATGAAAGACTTCTTGTTGTGTCTATTATGGGATTGTTAGTTAATTTAGTTGGAATATACGTGTTCAGGCATGGACATGGGCACGGCCATGGAATGGGACATGGGCACTCACATTCTCAGTCTCATAGCAGCCATGGACATTCTCACTTAAACCATAGCCATAGCCATGATCATCATGATATTGAGATCGATCCTTCCTTCAGTGGTACAAACTCTCAAATTATGAAAGGTGTCTTCTTGCATATCTTAGCAGACACTCTTGGATCTGTTGGTGTAATTATATCAGCCATACTGATGCGTCTGTTTGGTTGGTTTATAGCTGATCCAATTTGTTCCATGCTGATAGCAGTATTGATAGTTTTAAGTGTTCTTTCTTTGATGAAAGATTCATGGGAGATATTGATGCAAAGGCAACCACCAGCATTGGATCATGTTCTGCCACAGTGTTACAACAAAGTGACCCAACTGGCTGGGGTGTACAGTGTACAAGAACCACATTTCTGGACACTGTGTTCAGACGTGTACGTTGGATGTTTGAAATTGGAGGTTGCCAGAACAGTGGAACCTAAATACGTTGTAGCGCACACACAGATGATTTTCCAAGCAGCCGGAGTAAGGCATCTAACTGTCCAACTGGATTACGCACCCATGTGATCTAGGAAAAATATGCATGCCCTAAAGTGTTCTTATAAGTGCTCCAGGACTGTATTTGTTTGTGGAGTTTGTCAGAAGCAAGCTAGGAACACTGCATTAGTGCAAAATATTTTTGCCATTTTAAAATTCTGCAGGTGCATAATTCTGAGTAATAGCAAATATCATCTTGGATTACAAATCATTTAAGAATGTGTCCAAATTTTTAAACAATTATGAAAACATAATAAGTTGTCAATTTAGGGATCTACTCCTAAGGATATTTCATCTTTAAAATAATGCATTTAGAAATTTGTATCTACTGTAATTGAAAATCACTTATTTCATGTTATTCTTTCTATATGTAAGCAATGATTTGTTTATATCGCATAATGTTATCTTATTTCAATTAATTGCACTTTATCTTTGATTCAAAAAACTTAATGGTGTATTTTATTAATTGTCCGACGAAGTCTTTATATATCGAAATGCATTTGAAACGTTAAGAAATTACGGGTGTACTGTAATACAATCCATTTCATCATTGCGGCGGCTGATTTACACCACTTTTGTAAAGATCTCTTTTTCATTCACTTTGTTACTACATTAAGTTTATGTACATTACGATATACAGTAAAACTTCGGTGCATTATGGTCGAGCGTGTGCAAGATATTAAAAAAATAATCTAAGCGCGCAATAATGGCCGTAATTATATATAGACAGCTGTAGACAGCTAGTCATTACTATAAAAAAAAAAGAAAATATGTGAAATATATACTATATATAAATACAACTTTATAAACTGTAATATAAATTAATATTCTTACGTTAAACAAAGTTGCGTTTTCTTGCATAATAAAAATGTATTCACTTTTTACATTCTGCTCGCGTTAAATGCTATTGTAATTCAATTAATATTTAAAAAAATATATATTTTTAACGCGCGCAGAATATTCATTTCATGGCAATGCTTTGCGAATATGAAATAAACAATTCTACAAAAAATTCTATTTAAGGTCAGGCAAGACTTGCTTCGCGAAAAAATATATTTCATTAGCGTGCATGGTTTTCTACCACATATTTCATACATGCGTGATATAGAGAATCATTGTTCATCGTTTTCATTAGCATTGTAATATATCCGCCGAGACACGAATTAGATTTACGACAGATTTGTAAGCGTAAATCGTAAGCATGACCAGGACATTCCATATAGCCGTGCTATATAAGTACATAATATAATTTGTATACATCAGATGGTGACGAAGTAGGCCAAAATATAATTCATTGAGAAAACGAAACGTCGACAGAGACTTAACAGAAATTTGTTTGGTAACGGGATGTAGACAACTTTTTTATTGAGATGCTGTATCGTTAAAATAACGATTAAACTCTCTTCAATAAAGATAGCAACGAAGAGGTATGTAATTTCCTCGATGAAAGTCAACATTGTTACGTTTTATCAACATTACTGTATAAATAAAACACAAAATTGTATATCTTCGATATCAACACAGTGTAAATAATAAACAGAAATACTAATCTTCAAACTCTTTCGTTGATGTTGATTTTTATTACCAATATCCGTTCGCAAATACTGGGGAACATCGTAAATCAAGAGAATTTCTCTGTATCAGTAAATTTCCCTTATTTATTCGTCAGACGAGTTTCTTCTTCGACGATGAGGAAGTCAGCCACAGGGGAAACATTTAAACACATATTACATTTATTTGAAGGATATGTATACACATATAAATACATAAATATTTATAATAAAATCGTTGAAGCTGATCCCACACCGGACAGAGATTCCGTACGCGTACACTACGACACGTGTGGTGTCAGCTTCAGTTTTCCTGTCGTGTACAACGTGTTTTTCATAAAACGGCCTGGCAAATGTAACAAATCGTGCCACGTCTGTTGCACGGCATCGATCGAATGTAATCTTATGTACATAGCAAACTATCAAAAATGAAAAACCGTGCGGAACGCATCAGCGAGACGACGTTTGCCTATCCTAACTGGGTGATCAAAGAAAACTTGTTGCTTGCGAAAAATGGGGCGTGGAACTGTATCTGGTAAAGTTGATTAAAAATTCGTCGAGTTGACTCGTTTATTTTATTGTTCTGAGATTATTGAGGAGAAATCGGCAGTGTTTCTGCTCCAGATAACATTCCTCGACTCAAGATAACGCGGTAATGAGCATCTATGCGGGTTCCGAAGTGCGAAACTACGATAGTACAGTCGCGTGCGATGATGTCTTTTCTTGATAAGGGGAAGTAGAGAGGGAGATGACATCCCACCACCCACCAAACCACGTGGAACAGTCACCAAGGGTGGTATTGGAAGGATAAAGGTATGGAGGTGGTATGCTGGAAATTGGAGAGGGACATAGACGCCCACCACCTTACAAGGCACCCCTTCTATTTGGAGGAGCGAATAGTCATCTATGCACACGACTGTACTTTTTTCGTGGTTCCCAAAGAATAAAATTAATTGTACAAACCTGTGTAATAAATTAAGTTTTTGCAAAGTGCATGGCAGTGTAGTATTTCTTGTGCCTTCTGTGCCGATGCAGCTTTCCTTCAATGACGAGCGAATGGAAATCGCGCTTAATTCTAGAAAGTAACGAACTGGTGATAATACGATATCGATAGACGATAGTCGCGTTTCAAGTCTACGTTACGATTTGGCAGTTGCGTTACAGGTTCTTTTTTTTTTTTTTTCATTCTTTTATCAATTTTTTCTTCTACTTTATCTCTCATACAATACAATAGCCATCGTTCTCTATAATGTACCGTAGAATTCGAAAACCGACGTGTCTCTTCTCTGGATACGTTTCCTACCCGCTACTATAGAATATAATTTATAAAATCTCTTCAAGTCTCCAACAAACCACCCCATCCGGTAAAGCCATTTCACTCTTGGATCATCGATCGTAACATTTAATAATCGTGATCAGAGAATATTCTAATAATCGTAAGAATAATAATAATGATCATCGTAATAATGACAATAATAATATATTACTCTGAATCGTATTTTACAGTCCATCTAACAACAACGAACGTATCTAGTTGCAACAGCCTCTTTCATTTTTAAATATCTTTCGGTAATACGTATTCACGTGTGACTTGGTCTCGCGATTATTTATTTCTCCTTCAATTTCTTCCTCTAGAAAGAAATCGTACCACCTCTTCTAAAACAAAGAACCTCTTCCCTACAATCTCGACATTTTTCCACGCTTTTAACAAACTCTACGATTTATAATGATCGTTAGGAGAGCGACGACGCAGAAAAGGAAATCACAGTAAGACGAAAATCCACAAAGTGTCGGCTTCGTTCCATCCATCTCGTTCCCCATACATTTCCTTCGTAAAGTAGTCTTATTCTATATGCCTCTTATGGCTAAAATTCATCGACGATATACGCGTTCCTTCTGTCTAAAAACTACGCGTTTACGTTCACTTTGCTAGTCGTTTCCTCGATCCTTGTCCCTTCTGACATCCGTTTCACCGGATCGTCAACGAACAACCCCGATGATCAGGTTTCAATTCCCATCCTCTTCAAGATCAAATCTTCCTTATCCCGACCACGTTCCTCGTGGCTTAGACAATTCTAAAAAAAAACTTCCGTGTCGTTATCAACCAGAAGCTTTACCTTCGATTCTCACTTCTTCTTCCCCTTGCCGTTCTTCTGCAATTTCGTGATCTTTAATCTGCAGTTAGATCCGCCCGTGTACACCACTTCCGCTCTACCGCCCTCTTCCACGGCCGCGACCAAAGCCTTCACCGACTTGACGTGCACGTCTTTCGCGCTGATATCTAACGAAGTACCGGGATAACGATCTCTAACGCATTTACCGATACTCGAAGCCTGGCTCTCCGTCAGATCCACGCCGTCCAGGCACAGCCAGGTGAGATACTGCAGGTGCGTAAGTACCGTTTGCACGAAAACGTGCTCCATCTGAACCTTCTTCGCGCTGTCGGTCACTATAAGACCGTTCGCCTTCAGGAAGCTCAGGTTGCACAGCTTCAGGTACTTGGCTATCTGCCTCATCGTCTTGTCGCTGTCCTCCAGAGTGACCCGCCAGAAGTTGATCCTCAACGACTGCAGGTTCTTGAAATGAGAGGAAAGACAGCTGAAGAATTGCTGGAGAATCTTGTCGTCGATGAATAACAAGGAGCCACTGTTGCCTCCTATGGTAGACTTGTCCAGAGAGAGATCCAGCTCGCTAAGGGCGGTGAAACCGGCGAGGAAGGGCAACAGAAGGGGTCCTCGAAGGGCCAGACGGTCGTTCACCGTAACCTGGAATCAGAGAGCATTGTAGAATATTTCATCAGCTTCTTTTTTTGGACATCTTGGACTGTCAATGGACGAAGAGGAATTGGAAGGAACCACTTTATTCACTTCCATTTTTGGACACTGCCATCGGAGCTGTCAGATCGTCGAGTGACGAAGAGGAATGAGAACTTTGTGGTTTAAACTGAACCGAACTGATAGATTGAAGGAAAAAGGAAATTGGAGAGGACCATTTTGTCCACGACCACTTCGTTCGCTTCCTTTTTCGACACCGTCGACGGACCATCGAGTAACGAAGACAAATGGGAACTTTCAAAGGTCCAAATGAATTTTAAGCATAAATTGAAGGATAAAGGGAACGTCGAGGGACCGCATAGCCTCTAGGAAGTGCTAGCTGCCGCATTTCATTTTCTTTCATTTACGTAACGAATCGAAGCACGTAATATATCGATCGTTCGGCGAGTTTACAGCGTAACCAAGCCGGTAACGTCGGCTGACACGGGGTGGAAACCAGTTTCCTGACCAACGCGAATAATCTGTCGCGGTTTTCAAACGACCACCGAGCAGACCGCGAACGAATCATCGACGGCCTCAAATTACGAATCGAACTGGCTCGAACGAGCTCGAGTGTCTCGAATATGTTGTCTACGGACCCTCGGCAATCGGATACGTCGATGATCGTTACCTTTCGTTTCACGCAACTGATACGTTACACGCGTGGATATCTAATTTTGTGCTCTGGCAAAACTTCAGGAATAGAAATCGATTCGTTGAGACGTCGATCTAATTTGCAATTAAAAGACTCGCGTTAAGGGAAGGGAACGGGGGTTCCTTTTCATTCGGGGTAGCTGGAAAAAAGGATTACTTACTTGAAAGCCGGCCAGCCTGAGGAACACAATAGCAGGGCAGGCGGGCGGAGGAGCCGCTCTAAGGAGCTCGGCTCCTGCGTCGTCCCGGCGTCCTAATCTCGCCAAAGGACCTTCATGGACGGCCAGATGCAACCGCGCGTTGCACAGACTTAATTCGCGGACGCTCGTGTATCTAAGTAACTCGGAGAACACTGCCAGGCTATCCGATTCCTGAAAATCCAAACAATTTTCGTTACATCACAGCTACTCGGAAATCTGTGTCACCGCAGTGAACCTTTCAGAAGATTATTTTTTTTATATCTCCCATCGAAAACGTTCCCCATTTCTATTCACTTTATATCATCGATTTACGTAACTTCGACAAATTCTCAAGTGTATCGTAACACGGTTGGAATTCCGAAAATCTCCGGAAAATCCACTTCGGTTAGCCAGAAGACGCTTTGATCACCAGGCTTCCCGCCCCTTCATTATTAACGCGCGTTACACGTGGAAGTGGCTGGTCTGAACGCGTCGCGGCGCCGAAATCGCTTGCGGTATTACGTTGGACCGCCAATGAGATGGGAACAAAGCGAGATGGTACAAGCACAATGGCTTTCGAGATTACAGGATCACGAGCATCGCGTCTGAAGAGGAGCTTCAAGTCGCGACTAATCTTTAATAATCATTTTTATAGTTATAAATTTTTGTTAACGAGTAGACTTTTAGAAAACTTGGAAGTTTCTTCGGCGGAGATTGATATCGAGACGCGTCGCATCGCGTCGCGGCGCCTCGAAATAGAACGACCTAATTAGGCGACACAGTTTCGAGAAGGGGGTGTCATTAAGTGGCGCGACGTGCAGTTTCGAATTGATCACGAAAGCCTGGGGCCTCTTCGATCGGAACGAAACGGCTTCGTTCCACTTTAACTCCGAGTTCCTGGTGACACGGAGGAAAAGCGACGCGCGTAACGGAGTCCTATGCAATATTTCAAAGTGCAGTCACCCTCCCCGGGGAGTTTTCCGTGGAAAAGCTACCGCGGCAAAGTCAAAGTCGAACTGTTTCAACAATTGACTTCAGTTTCCGAGAGTTTGCAAATCGGATTGGATTTATGTACGGGGATTCGAGGCACGGTATCGTCACCTTTTCCAGACTGCACTGGCTTTTTTTAAATCATTTTATCACATCACACTCATTAGCAACGTTGATTATTCGCGTCGCGACGTTTAAAAATGTGTAGTCAATAATTGACGCAACAAGTGTCACCTGCTATTTTAACCGACATTCCGCTTCCTCGCTGGTGAAATTATTCCGTCTGCAAACCGTGAAGAGGATGTCTCAGGAAATGCTTCGTGTTTTGTAGCTGATCCTTCTTTTTCACCAACCTCTACAAGGTGCTTCGAAATTAAACGATTAAACCACGCTAGCTGTTTCCATGAATAAAACATAAGGCGGCTCAAAGAAGTTTCGTTTAAAAATTTTTAATGAAACCTTTCTGGTACTCGCGTTGATATTCTCCTGTAATTTTTATTCATAGCATACACTCTCGTGGTTTGTTCGTTTTGTTCGCGAACACTATTTCCTTTTTTTTCCCTTTCACGATATTAGAGGTGGTAGAATTTAAACACCTCGTGGAAGTTCTGCTTTCTTTCCCGCTAGATTATTTCGTGGCCGGATCGTTTGATTTAAGAGGGTAGTTTTTACGGGAACGTCGGCTGGTTTGAATAATGCTGGGAAAATTGAGCAAAATTATGGCTGGCGTGGTCGAAACGTTTGGGGTGGCACCTCTATTCTCTGGAACTTTAATGAACCTCCGTTATTTGTCGAGCTGCTTAAAAACATTCCCCTTTAATCGTTTTTTGACGAATCAAAAAAACTCAAAGAAATTAAAAAAAAAAGAAATCTTATTTTCACCCGTATGGCATACTCTGTCACAGTTTGATCGTCCAATTGGAGGACACCCTGTACGGCAATTCCGTCGGTGGACCGATGAAAAATAGCGGAGTGGCGGCATAAATTGAATGAATCGGCAGCCACGGCACGGCACCGTTCTTTTTAAATGGAAATCGTCCAGGTTCGTGACAGGCCGCACACAATAATAGCCTGGCGAAAGGGGTCGAGTGCAGGAAGAGGGGGGGAGATGACAGTCGGTACAGAGAGCTTCCAACGAGCTGCATTGTTTATAATCACCCTCGTGCGTTAAATGAAATTTGCCCGTGCCCTCGCCGCGCTCGTGCTACTCGACCCTGCCTCATTGTTTCCGAGCGTGATATCACCGGTGCCACCGGTAGGATTTTACGGTTGTACAATTTATCCGGGATATTCTGCGAATTATGTGCTTTTCGAGGCTCCACCTTCGCGCTACCCCCCCTCGTTCAGACCGTACAGTTTACCCTCGTTACTGATGCGATTAAGCGAACGAGTCGCTTTATCGACGAACCGATAAACTCTGCTTTGCTAACACGAAATCACGACAAGCGGTAAAGAAATTTCGTTTCATTAACTGTTGGACGAAGTTGCGGGCATATTTTTCCAAATATCCGTTTAGAAAAAATTTTCAAACTTTTCCTCAACATTCGATACGTTAATTTTTTATCGTCCAATTTATATGAAATATTATCACAAGTTCGTCCATAAAACGAGTTAAATGATATACGATTCGCGAACTTTATCCAAGATAAATTTCCCGCTACTTGTTACGATGTTTTGAATAAACGTTTCTATAGGATCGATCTCCATAAGGATGGAAAAGCAAGCACCACGGGACGCGTCTGATGCGGCTGGTATTCTCATGGAAATTTTCACCGATTCCCGTGGATGTTGGTCAGGATCGCGGAGAAGAATGTTCGAGGATCGGAGCTCGCCGGAGAATGGGGTGTATGTAATTTATCGCGGACAATATTACCAGCGACGTTGAACGGCCTGGAAAACCTCGTGGCCCTGTCCGACAAGTATTTTATGACTGCTAAAAATCGTATATCTCGGTCTCCGCGTCGAAGAAAAAAATTAGTAAAATGGAACTTTCCGAACGAACGATCTAACCGTATGAAAAAGTGCCACGGTGAATTCAATTTAAGCGAATTGTATACAGTTAAAACAGGAACATTGATTGATCAGTTTACACGAATAGAATAATGAAAGAAGAAGCTGTTTCGTTCTCGACATAATAAGAAATCTCGACCTCGTTAAATTTCCCCTCGATTAACATAAATGTTATTAGCCCGAGGGGGTGAATCGTTTGAAGACGAGTTTATAAATCATCCAAGATGTTTTGCATTTGAACAAGGTGGATAATAAATAAGGAGCTCTTTGTGGAAACGCTCTGAAGTAATAACCAGCCCTCGTTTTATATTCTCTCGCGATGATCGATTCATTTGTTCAACGTTCCATTTATCTTGCATTTCATATCCTGAGGATATTTTTCTTTTTTATAGAAACAAATGAATACTTTCTTAGTGGTAAAAAATGGTCGGAATTTATTGGAGAATCTAATAACTTTGGTCGGTTGAGGGTAGCGGGCCAAGAGTCACGGTCTCGCCAACTTGCTGGCAGATTTAAGTAAATTGGATGACACGAACGAAAGAGGGAAAGCTCGCTCTCGGGAGCATTTTTAATAATGGAAAATCCATTTGGCCGTGTCGTCGCCTATATATCTTGTTTGCCCGCCATTGTCTACCGTCTCTGTTCAATATCATACTTTATTTCGCGGCTGGATCTCCTCGTACCGAGGACGCTCTTGCTTTTAAATAAATCAGATTCTTCGAGCACGTCGAAACGGCTAAAACGTTCGAATTCATTCGAGCGTGTACGTGTGTTTCTCTTTCTTTTTTTTCCTTCCATTTTGTTCGGGCAAAAGAAAGAAAAGACACTCGACGCGATCACTCTCTTTAATTAATTCCACTTTTTGTTTCTTGATTTACCGAGAACACCCACGCGATCGCTATTGTTTCATTCGTTTCTCCTCGGTACAGTTTGGCGCGAGTTTTCAACGGTAAACAGCTTTAGTGAATTTGAATGAATAAATGTGCTTGCAAGGTGTTATGAATAATGGAACTGCGAATTCGAGTGTAAATCTCTACCTCAACGATTTCCCTTATTGCGTGTTAGGGTACTCGGCGAATAAAAAGGTTAAGTGGGAATAAATCATTGTTCTGAATCAATTTCGAGCATGCTTTTACAGTATAATAGTCTTCAAACATGTAAGGTTATTTGAAAGTAATGCTACGAAAAGAGAAAAACAAAGGGAAATCGATATCGAGGAATGCATGTGGAATCCTGTAAGAGAATCGAGGCTTCTCTGGTTACGTCTTCGAGGTTTCGACCAACTTACGAACCACAATGGGATCAGTAAAACGTATAGAAGGGTCTACTACCAGAAACTCTGTGGACCGAAAAAGAATCACTAGAAAACTCTGTGGCTTTCTGTCTGCCGACCAAAGTCTGACGTATTTTTCCCAGGAATTGCGGAATTTCAACACCTTACATTTTCAAATTCCAATATTTTTTTTTTTATCTTATTCGAAGAATTCAGATACCCGGGAACCGACTCAAAAAATGAAAAAAGAATTTTTATATAAGTCCAGTGCTATAGCAAGATTTCTAGAGCCTTTTAAACACCCTCCATAAATCGAAACTCTGAACTATTCTATGCTCTAATCTTCTCTAAGGCCATTGTTGGCTATGAGCCATTATTTCTATCAAGATTCTGGTAGCCGAGCGGAGAAAAAGACAAGCGAAAACCGACAGAGAAGAAAGAGAACACGGCCAAGGAATAATCCTATCAGGTGTATCGCTGGATTATCCTGAAACTGGTTAATTAATTATCCAGGTTGGAGAACTGGAGCAAGATAAAGGCAGACGACACGAGGATTGTTTATACCCCTCACTAATTTAAGGAAAGGAGTCAGCAATGTTGAGCTCTCGGTTAATACCGTTTCTGAATTTCGACTATGAGCAGTACGAAAAAGTAAAATGGTTAATTACGTAAAATATTATTCAACCTGAAACTGTGAGCACGTCACTCTTCTTCAGCTATCCTTTGCCACCCTTTTCGCGCGACGTTTCATTAATTGAAACAGAGGAATTCTGTTTACGTTATCCTCGAATTTGCTTCGTTAACAAACCTAGAGAGATGGAAATAGCTTACGGGCTTATCATCGATAATTGTGGACGCGGTGAGCAGTTCCGCTAATTAAGGAGCAATTAGTTTCCATGTGCTTTGATCGTCCGAAATGACAGCATGAATAATACAGGACGATTCGTTTCATCATGTCCGCCACAAGCTTCGATGCTCGTTCAATTGCGAGCAAGCTAAGTGAAACGTAATTTCCTGTTCCAATCGTACAGAATCTATGGTACCCTTAAGATAATGATAAAAATTATTATTATACACACAATAAAGTGTTGGTATCAATGGAAACATTAAAAGAAATGCTTTGGGAAACATCGTTTATAGCGTTCAGGCTGCCGCGTCCGACTATACGTTGATCTGTTCTACTAGCCTCCTCAATTTTCCGCTTTACGGTTTTTTAATTGAAAATGCAGCGGCGGATAACCAGCGTCCGGAATCAAATTTAACATGTCGCTGAAGCAGACCAGAGGAATTATGCGCCGTAAAAATTCTCTTTGTAGAAATTGTGCGTTACACGTCTGACCAGTGGTGCGTCTTTACTACTTGTTTCTACTAGCGGATCGCAAACCGTGAACATTTTCTTTCCTTTTCTCTTTTGATGTTTAACTATTAAATACGGTTCCTCAACAAAATCATCGACCTTAAGTAAAAATTGTATACTAGGCGTTTAGTGGAAGGGGAAGGCGGTGAGTCTCCCCGGACGCCCTTAGTTCGGGTCGGCGACCGCCAGGTGGCAACGAATTTGAGTCTGTTCTCGCTGGCGGTCCCCCGGCACGCGATTCTGTATACATATGAGTTCCGAAAAACGGGATTATAGGCGTCTGGGGCAGGGATCGTCCGTCGTCAGCCCCATTGACGAGTCTGGCAGACGATCCCGAGACGAAACGCCCCTTTTTCTGTTCCTACAATTTAACCATTATTTTCCCTTTTTCCTTCGATGCAATGGCGCACAATTTCGTAAGTGCTGGGCGGCGATATTCAACCGCGCTCTGACAACTTGCACAGTGCAAAGTTGCACAACGTCTCGACAATGTTCTGGTACGGAATCTCAAGTAGTCGTCCCCGAAATACAACGTCGGAAAAGTTCGTATAAGCCTTCGATCGGTACGTCGGAAAAGCTGTCTGAATCCGAAACACCGCTAACTTCCAACGAAAAAGAGAGAGATTCTTTTATTCGACCGATTACCGAGGAATCGATATCAGGGGAACGAAAGCCGATCCGTTTGAAATCGGTGAACCAGAAAACATTTAAAACGTTCTATTTAAAAAAAAAAAAAAATTCACGTATGCTCGCTGCAGGCCGGGGTAACAATCGGATCCTCTCAGCTTTATTAGTTTATCGTTTTCCATCCGTTCGACAATGGCCATCGCGAAATCCACTCGGCAAACGAGACTGCATACACGGTTCCATATCCGCTCGCGTACGGTAGCTTGATGGACACGGTGGTTCTCGGTCATTAACACGGAATACAAAAGCAAGCACCGGGGATGAAATTTTCAACGGTAGCCAGAAAAGCTCCGCGCCGTTCGCGTACACTGCGACGGTTAACTTAAAGTGCCGACTCGTTAGGAGCTGGCTCTGAATTCGAAATGTAAATTCCAGCCTCGAATCGTCGACGAACTTGTCAGCATTCCGGCTGGATGGTTCACTCGTTTACCAACTGCAATTGTTGGGGCATTATTAAATTCTGCGGATGTTTCGTCGTTGACAGAGAAATTCAGTCGTATTAAACGATTGGACGAAGCTTGTAATATACCGGAGCTTTTCTTTGTATCTAATTATTTATTAACTTACCTCTATTCTAAACGTCCATCCCTCGAGGCTGAGCAATTTAAGGGTGGTGTTCCTGGCGAGCGCGTGACACAATAATCTCGATGGATGATCATCGAGGGCTAATCGTGGACTAGCGAGATCCAAAAGTTGAAGGCAAGGTGCTTCAGTCAATGCAAGGACTAGTGGCATCACGTCCGCTGGCCTCGATGCACCGGCAGCCCTTAGAGCATCCAAATTACGTGCCCTTCGGATGGTCTCGCCCAAGCAACCCGCATCCAATCCACCGAGCAAACACTTGGACACGTTCAGGGACCTCAGCTTGCAGTTCGGTTCTCTGAGGCATCGGAGCAAACCGCCATCGATTAGTTGGATGGTCATGTAATTTCGGATTGGCCAATGTTGACGTTCCACTTTAATTTTTGTGGCTAGCCAACTGGCACAAGAGCGACGTATGCAAGTAATTTTTTTGATAAAAACGAATCTTAATGGATTAATATAAGCAATTATAAAAAGTATTACTGGGAATCTATAATTCCGTGGATCAAAGTTAAAATGGAAGAATTCTTCTCATTTTCTATGGAATTTGGATTCGATGGAAGAAAGAATTCTTGTCTGTTTCAGAAAAATGGAAAAAGTAAAATATTATATAAGAAGGAAAACTAGAAAAATGTGTATTGAAAGAGAAAGAAAAGGGGTGGGTGCGGTACCTTTGTCCAAATTTGAATTTCCGACCAGATATCGAAAATCTTTTCTGAATTGGATACGAGCCGTGCCATATGTGGATCTATTATTGGAAAGGGCGAGGATTTAGGCACAAAAAGAAGGGAGAGAACCCTTCGACAATGGTTTGTGATGAAATTGTGTTAGAGATTCGAATTCTAACGAGATACATTCGAGTTTGATTTATCGAATGTAATCGTATCGATAATTGAAGAGCCTGTGAAATCCTCTTGACACCGAAACTCACTTTACATCCGGAAAATTTACCAATAAATAGGACGATAGGAGTTTTCGCTACACAAACGAGAATGTCCCTCTGCGCCAGAACAAAAATCGATTTACAATTTCCGCTAATTTGCCATACATTTCTACGATGACAGCAAATAATAAAGCGATACGATTGAATCTTCCAATTTTAATTAACGAATTCTGTCGTGTCTGTAACAAGACGTTCGATTTTAATCAGAGAAATTGACAAGTCAACCAAGACGATTATACGATTTGATCTAACGATCAACGAGGTAATTCCTTTATTAATCGAACAGATAGACTTTTAATTAAACCTCGTTCACTCCGATCGAACGGCGGAAAGGAAAAGTTGGCCGGGAATATTAAAACTGTTATAAAAACCGGCTACGAAATAAATGTAATTACGCTGGAGAACCACGAAATAACGTGAGCGCGGCTGTGTTTAACAGAATCGATTCCGCAAAGTCGATTATTCGAGCTGGTCGCTTGTAAATTGAACAATTTCCTGGCAAATCAGATCAGTCATTAACGTGCCCGTGTAATCCGCCCGGGGAAGCTGTGCCTGATTAACAAGTACAATTAAAAAGTTCCTCTGCAGATCGACACACTTTCGACACGCTTATTTCGTTCGAATCAATGTCTCGTTGCATAAAACAAATTCATTAAAATTCATACATTTTCCTCGATTTTTCAAATGAAATGTTAACAGCCTGTATAAAAATAACCATAGACACCAGAATAGGGTGGACGAGGGTGGTGAAGAACTAACATCTTACAGATTCGGACAGGTCGAGAGGGTCTCACGTATGTTCCTGCGTTTAATAGGGACAATTCAAGGAGCTCGACCGTCTGGATCTGGGTCTGGATTTAACGCTATCTACTGCTCGCACGATATTTACTCGGCTATTAGTGGCTGGTTAGCCGGGCGTACAGTTAATGGCGCTCCTTTAATGGTATCCAGCCAGGGGTAAAGCCGCTCGAGTGGTCTCGACGTATCTATTCGACGGTAAAAATACAGCCCGTGAACGTAGCGTGGCCGATCGTGCTTCGAATCGCGAGCGAGAATAAACATTTTATTCGAAATGCTCGCGGCGGATAAGCCACTCGGCCAATAAAACTGATACTCTAAATCAAAGCGCGTATATATATCGTTCCCTCTGTTTCTCTCGATTCTAACCGTGTATCGTTCTTCCCGCGAGGAAAGGCTGGAAAACAAACGATTGAAGCAGAACCGATGGATCACCGGCCATGCGACGTATTTCAGATACCGGGTTTTACCACGACCATTTTCCAAATGATTTCTCTGCGCACCGAAACGAGGGATGCCATTTTTGTAATCGTTTAATTCGAAAATTTCAAGCTGTAAGTCTCGGGGCTTTCATTTTTTACATTTTTTCCCCGGCCTAGGAGAGGGGAACAAAGCTGAAACGAGGACGATGTTATGATTTTAATTTGAGGAGCTCTAATGAGGACAGAGAGGGAAAAACTGTTGGAGAATTTCGGAACTAGCCTTCATCGGGGCTGGCAACAAGCCGTTACGGATTCCGTTGAAAAGGCAGCGGAGACAAAGGGCAGGAACAAAGGGAATGTACATGGTGGAAGGTATTTTTCGCGTTTAAGGGTTGACGTGTGCCAAGGCCCCGTTCGTAAACGAGGAAACAAAAGGGTTGAACTACGCAGCCGGCCTCGACTTCCGTTTCCGCCGTGTGTCGCGCGAACGTTGCCGCTCGTAAACGGATTCATAAAGAACCAAGTGCTTTCTTTCTTGCCGGCTTTTCATCAACGCGACTTCGAACAAATGGCTGCCGAGTCGAATTACACAATTCCTGCGATTCTTTTTACGATGCCGCGCCACCTTTCCGCTTCTTTCCTTTCGTTATTCTCGGACTTTCTTCGAATCGTATTAACTCTTACGTTTTACCTCGATTTAATGAACCTTTAAAAATTCGCGAAAACTATGTTGACGCAATTCACCCTTAAACTCTGGCAAGGGACAGAGGCATCCTTTCGCGGAATCTTGCCGAAGGAAGTTCGTATAATTTCCTGAATGGCCACGCTCGTTCGTCTCCTTAATTTCCATAACTCATTTACCAGTGGTGTTCGAGGAGCCGAATGTTGGAAACTTCGCGGGGGTAAGTTGAACTCGTAGCACGGCCTACGGCTTGGGAAGTTGCTCTACAGAGAACCGGTGCTGCTGACAGATTTACGTAACCGTAAATGAAAGTTGCAAATCTCCTCGTTTCTTTTCATTTTCCTACCTCGAATATTAAATAATTTCTCCTAAACGTTTCCTCATTAACCTTTCATTTTAACCCTCTCGTAACTTAATAGCCGAGAAATTCGAACGTTGACGCCTAGAGTGTTGAAATGTTTAATAAATCAAAGATACGGGAAGGCTGGAAATTCACTAAACGGAGATTGATAATTTCACAGTGAAAGGATTAATTAGAATCTCACCTGATAGCGTTGAATATCTCGTGAAATCCTGTGCCCTGGTGGCTGGTGAGGTCGCAAGTAGGTAACGGGTGCAAGAGTGGTAAACGATGACACAGTACGCTGTCGCTGTTCCTCTTGCTACTTCCGTTGCTGTCCCTGTCCCTGTCGTTCTGGGGTAGCGGGCCGTTTCCGGTGCCGGGTGCAGGACCAAGGCCAAGCCCGAGAGGAAGTCGTGGCAGGGTTGCGGGTCTCGTTAAACTCCCATAGGCTGCCAAAGCGCCCCGTGGCAGGGAGGAGTAGCAACGATTAAGGGGTAGCGTGCCAAGGGTGCTGGACGCGCAGCCGCTGCTTCCGGAACCGGAACCCGAACCTACGCAATTCCTTTCGATCGTCTCATTTCGCCGGACCGTGTTACAGGGAAACGATAGAAATGCTCTCACGGTTCGCCGTTTCGAAGTTTCGGGGTGCGTTCGAGCAAGTTAGTTCGCCCGGAATGAATAGTAATTGCAGAGGGTGAACTCGACGGGGGATGAAATCAATGGTACCGGCTAATGGATTCTCGGTGACGAACGGTTTATTTTGATTCACGAACGTTTGTTAGTTTGCCATTCCGTCGGCCGGTAACTGGAAAATCTTCAAATTTTCAACATTCTATCGTTGTACGAAAAAAGCCCGTCTGCACGATCGATCCACTTAAAAAAGCAATCGAAAGGAAATTGTACGAGCAAATGGAACAAATCGTTCATAGGAATCGTCGGGATCAGATTGGCGAATCCCCGATCGTTCGTAACGTAGTTTTATTCAACGGTACGTTCACCCTCGCGTATTGTTCGTCATTGAAGCCATTATCTTACGGTGCGTCGTTTCGGAGGAGGAGAGCCCTCAATAAAGTTCCCTCTACGTAACCGCTTCCGCCGCTTATTTTACGAACCGCTTAGCAACGCGCGAGCCAACGTCGTTACCTTTCTCCCTTGTACGCTTCGTTTATATTAATTCTACGCGGGCGAAGCTTTACGGCCGGTAAACTCGGCTGAACACGCTTAAAGACGCGTCCCGTATGGTAGTCGTTGCTCCAGTTTCTTCAACGCCAAGGAATCACACGGTTCTCCTCGCGGGGAACTAGCTGCGCCAACCAGTTGACAAACAAACTGCTTTAAGACAGACAGCTTCCTTCGCGAAAACGAGCGTTACGAGTAGTCAAACGTTGTGTAACGAGAGCTATAATTTTGTACTCTAAAGGAGGAAGACAAGAGATTTACCTGAAAAACATAATCCACCATTGCCGTCCGAAATACTCCCCGTTAAAATCCGGAACGCTCAAGTTTGATAACAAAGATCGAACGAATTTCAGTGGGGAGTCCCGAGGAAACGAACAAGCGATAACCTCATTATATCCACGGGTATTTTCGAGGAGTGTAACTCGACGATAGTCAGACGGCCGTGTTATCCTCTGGGCCACGGAATCGCGTTTACTCGACGATAGCTTTAATTCGCCGCTCGCCCTGGATTCCGATGGAGTTAACAAACTCCTTTTTGGACGTGATCTCGTAGAGCCCGCTGTACGTGCTCGCCCCGCTGGATTACAGGAAATTTGAGAAAGCTGAGGTCGATGGAATTCCAGTCGGAATATTAATTCGCTCAGGAATATAACGTCGCAGCCAAAAGGTCCGGGCGACTGCTGCTCCTCGGTACCCCGAAATTTTTACCAATCCCAGGGAAATTTCATTAAACAGAAACCGCGATAAGTTACGCGGCGATATTTCTGTTCGGTTTACGAGACGAGTTCTCGCATGCCGAGGGAAAATGAAGAGCGCTAGTTCGTGCTAGGAAACGAGACTCCACGCTGGAGAACTTCTGCTTTTGGAATTTCTAGTCGTCGCCCCTTGTTATGGTAACTGTCGCGCTGGAATAATTAGCAGCGACAGCGAGTTGAGTGGCTGAAAGTAATGAGCAACCGTGAAACCTTGATGAGATTCATTGTTGTTCGCGAGTAAGTACAGGATGAAGAATAATCAGGCTACGAAAGAAAATGATTTCGTATTGCAAACCATTCGAACTCGAAGGTCTCGTTTCAGAAGTTTCACCAGGGAATCGCTAGCAAATGTTCCTATGGAAACTGTGTTAACGCGACGATGAGTAACGCAAACGACCCCCCCTGTTGTTCTTCCGATAATATCGTCGAGTTAACAGTTTCGGCCAAGCTCTTCAAGTTTCGCCAAGTTACGAGCTGTTTGCTTGTAGTCGCGCGCGGTGGGATCGATCGGAAATTTGTTATTAGACGGCAAGTTTCCGCGGTGACGACGGGTTACGAGTATCGCGTACGAGTATCAGGTAATCGTAGATATCCTAGGAACGAATTCCATCGGTCCTTGGTATCCGTTGAAAAATTCCATGCGATCCAAACCGGTGCACCGAGCGTCGCAATCGCGCGACGATCGACAACCAGATAGAATTCCGCTCTTCGAATGCCGTGCGAGTCGGTCTTTCTCTTTCCGCCAGATAGAAGAGATTAACACGTTTAACAGCACCGACGTGACACAGCTTTTTCCGCTTTGGTTGGCATTATTTCGTTAAATAACCACTTAAGACGTATAATGGATGCAGACGCGTGGACCACGGGCCTCCATTTTGTCGCACGGCGTAACGGTTGGCTGACCGAAATTATCAAAGAGCATCCACACGGCTACTCGTTGCCGTCTAAATTCATTCGCTTCCGGCGTGTTGGACAAGTGGAATGACAAAGGGAATGATAAACGGCCCCGAGCATCTTTTCCCCCGTTTAATTCTTTCTCCTCTTGGATTTCATTAAACTCGAGAATGGTTCGCGTCACGGTTCAGAGGATAATTTACGTAATTCGTTGAAGAAGGAGGAGAAAAAAGCCATAGAAACGAATGGAATTGGTATTTTTCCATTATTCGATCTCCTCTGTACCTTTGCTTTGTTTCGAATAAAAGTCAGACAGGATTTGATCTGTAGAAAATATTTCATTCTTGTTTCATTTAGAACAGACTAACATAAAAATCCACCCACGATAAATTGGAAATAATAAAGAGGATCTCATAAATATTTATGAAAAGTATCGGGAAAGATTATTAATTCGACCGTTGCCGAGCGGCATCCAGTTGCGAGAAGCTCGAATCTTTTGACAGGTATCGCGTGCAATTCCTTTCGTAGGAATTCAATTCGCGGATGGTGAGATCGATTTTTAGTTAGCGTTGCAAAAAGAGAAACAAACAACGCGAAACAGAAATACGAATCACGGCCGAGAAGAGTTTCAATGCTACTCGGAATGCTTTGATGCAACGCTTTGGTGCAAAAAGCACACTGACCTACAAATCAAACGATGGGTCTGCCCGCTGGTCGAAAGGCTACAGGTCGTCTGTTAAATCGATTGCAATTGATTCCACCACCGAAATTCGTTCCACCTTTTAACAAATGAAACGCGTCGCTTCGAATTCTTGACAAATTTTTCGGCGAATTAAAACGTCGCGCTTTCTACGTGTTATACTACTTAAATCCTTTCCCGTTCGATTCGATCGCATAGAAACAGAACAAAATATTCTTAAATCGTCGCGACGAAGATGTTTGAAATGTTCTAGAATAATAATGGCAGACGTCGATGGAAGAAAAATGAGAAACGGAAAAGCACAACGTTATTCACTGAATCGAGCAACGAGTTGTTTCTCCGTTCCCCTGTATTTTCTCTCTCGACGCGTATATATCCATCCAGGAACGAGCGAAACGAGGGTAACGGGGGTAGGAAGAGAAAGGATCGATGAGTTCTCTCGAGAAACCGTCAAACCGAAAGATTTGATTTGTCTACGCCGCTATACGGCTCGTCGTCGCCTCGAGGAAGATTGCCTTCGACCCGACGAGCCAATCTTCGGGGACTTCTTTCAGCCCGTCAGAAGTAAACTCGATCCAGCAGTTATCCGTTTAAAGAAAATAGAGGAAAATCGAAATTCTGATTCGTACGATCCCGAGGAACGGACGAATAAACGGACCGCGATAGGCTCGGAATTTTCCACGAGAAATTCCTCGAATTAGTATCTCCATCATCCACCATCATCTTTTAGAAATCTTTTAGAAAATAGAAAGAATCGAATCAGTTTCGGGTTTAAAGGTGTCTCTTTTGGAGTACTCTTGGGTTTATTCATGCATGCGCATAGAGAGTAGACTCGAGTTCGAGTGCACAAAGGTCGAAGATAAAGGGGGGCGAGGATGGCGCGAGGAAGACATTAAGGGGCTCTTGAGAGAGAAGGTTTGGACAGGGTGTAACAAAGGTCCAGGAGGGTTTACCCAGAGATGATTAATACGTTATTTGCGAGCGGAAATTCAGTTGGAAAGTGTCGTTTGCACGGAGGAGCGTGTATAAACTATCCTCGAGGACGTTGTTCATCCTCCACGTAGGACACGATCCAACGGTTATTATTATTCTAGTGAAAACATTTCGAACCATCTAGTTTCTTGTTACGTGTCATTTTTTGTTGCATCCCGTTCGAAGCGATCGCTTTATCCGACAAGTTTATCGAATCAAGAAAATTCGAATAAGAACCGGGGTCGATCGTAAAGTTTACCCTTCTCAGAGTTCGGAGGTTTACGAGCGATTCGACGATTTACCGCAAGGCGTATCCATAATCGACCCATTTGATCGTCCAATTTCTTCCTGGTGATTTTCATCAAACATTAAGCTTCAAATTGATATGCCATAAGTGGCAATTTTTCGAATTTTTACTATGATTTCCTTGTAAATCAGTTTTCTAGGAAGATGACTCAGGAGGGCGAAAGGACGGAACCGGTAGCAAAGCAAATTGGAGAACGTCCGCTTCTCGCCACCGCGGGAATTGCAATTTCGCTCAGGAGAAAAGCCTGGCCGCTTCATAAATTGAACGTCCCCGAGGTGAGCAGAGGTCTTACGTGGTACGTATTCGCGGTAACTCGGACAAATGGTACGGCTTTAAAGTTCGAAAGGGCTGAAGTTTCGTTCCGACTGTATGTAAAACGCCGCGGGAACTTCACCTCTACGCGATTCGCCTGCTGCTAGACCTGAAACTGTTCTAATTTCAACTTTCTAATTCCGCTACCGTAACCGGCTAATGGCTACGCGTTCTCCTCCTCGCGGACAGCCCGCTTGTTATTGGATCGTGAAGGAGAACAAAAGATACCTTTTTATCTCCCGAAGTGACATTTCTAAACTTTAATGAAATTAAATGAAATTAAATGAAATTTCACGATGAAAATATTGCTACGCTACATTTGCAAATGAAAGTATTTCATCACCTTGATATCGTTGCTAACGGGAAATTAAAAAAATTAATGAAAAGTGTGCGAAGCAAACAAAAAAGAAAATAAGGCAAAGTTTTACCCATACTGATTCCAGAACTGGACGGATCCTCGTTTTTGGCACCCCAGCTTCCGGCCAGGTTTAGCGCCAGCAGTGGTCTCTCTTTCAGCAACTCAGCGACCGATGCTAGGCCCTCGCAGCCGCAGCCCAAATGGGGCAAGTGCAGTGCCTGCACTTGAACGCAGCTACGAAGTGCCTCGCAGACCCGGGACACTTGTTCACCGGACAGATTCATGTCGAGGACCAACCGTGCCAAGCTACTCGACGCGTGACTCAGTCCGCGGCAAAGGGCATTCACCACGCATTCCAATCTGAAACAATCAATTGATTCCCTTCAAGTAGCATTAGTCTTTGGGAAACACGAAAGTTTTCATTTTATACCACAGAAAATTGTTATCCGTTATAAAAGTCGCCGCTGTTTGGCACCACCAATTTAACCTTCGGCATAACAAGGGGAAAATAAAGATCCAGCTACAAAGATTTTGGAAACCTTGCAACTTTCTTGCCAACGTTTCGCAAGCACCGCAATTTTTGCCATCGGTGGCTGCTTGACACACTGTTACCGATGATAGGAACTGCAGTGTTTGCGAAATATCGATGAAAATGAACTAAACCGCGGTCACGATTACGCGAATCTACCGTGCAAATTTACTCGGCCATCCCTATGAATCAAAATTTATTATCAACCTATATTTCATCACCTTCCAAACCTGGAATAAGTATTTTTCGTGAGACGCTCTTTGTGCACATTCACGAATGGAGGGAAAACTAATTTGATTTCATAAATCAAAATTTATTATCAACCTGCTTTATGGCGAAAATTGAAAAAACTATTTTTCCGTAATAATCGAGCGATCCTTTGTGCAAATTTGCTTCCGACAAATTAATTAAAATTTCTTATTAAACTATGTTTTATTACGAAAAGAGAGCTGCCGAAATTGAAAAAAGTATCCTTCATCTGCGCCCTTTCGCGATACTGGAACAGCCCTTTGTGCAAATTTGTTCGCTAGACTACCGATGCATATTCCCCGTTGGATTTATGCATGTATAATGTTCCCTTCGTTGTCTGTTCCCCATTATTTCGAGAAGCGACCGCGCGTATACGTGCAACAGTTATGCAAATTACGGATGCAGTTATACTCCCTTCTCGGCGAATTGCAAACGAGTCTAGATTTTCTCTGGCGTTACCAAGCCCGCTGGAAAAGCTCGCTCCCGCGGAATTCTTACAACGGAGGATAAACAATACACCGGCGAAGGCAACGTTTCACTACCGAGAAAGATATTTTAATCGCGTTTCCCTGATGCAAGAATAAAAAGCAACATCGTTTCTATTTCCGATATTAAAAAGAAAGAAAATTAAACAACCCTTTTATCCGTTGTTGTGAATAACGTTCCCGTGTACATATACGTGTGTTCATGTAAATTCGTTCAGTTATTCGATAAACAAAGGATCCACTTCAATTACGATATTTTCCAAGTTCAAACAGACGCGCTTCGTGTTCTCCGAGTTAATTAAAATTATCCAACTCTGTTTAACGGTCCGTATTCGAAACAAAACGATCGATACGATTTCATTGGACGATCAAACAAATCGGGACGATATTCTGTTTAAAAAACAGCCCGTAAACAACGAACACGTATTCATCTATATTTTTAAACAAATGCAATTTGTTCCTCTTTTATCCTCTGCTCAATACGTATTTCGTTCCCGTTGGAAATATTCAGTCAGCCGTCATTCAAAGTTCCACTGACCGGTATAGTTTATCTTGACTAGGATTTTATGAAACAAGTCCTCTTCGTCAACGTCACCGCAAACGGCACGAATTTTCGACGGATTTATCGACAGGTACATTCGAAACTGTGTTACCGAACTTTTTATTCGGTACTTTTAAAAGAACCGGTGAAAAATTACGTGAAAAAGTTGCGAGAGCTTCGCAATCTGATTGCAGTATCTAATTGATGTTCCCCGGGGATCGACACCATCAAAGTGCTTCGAATAAGAGGAGAAATTATGAATCGTCGTCTTAACGGGAACTTTACGAAAAGACCGAAAAACTTCTCAAGCTGCTCGAGGAAAGTAAGGAAAGAGCAGCGGAAAGGAAATGGACTAAAGCCGGCTTAAAAAGGAAAGAAACAAACGGGAGAGGAGGGAAGGAGAAGGCGGAGTCGGGAAACGAGGCCTCTGTAACTGGTCCAACGTTTCAACTGTGAAAACCAAGCCTCGTCCTCCTTAATTTTTCGCCACGGGCCACGACGTTGACCCTACTCCGCGATTCTCGAACCGACGTTGCGAGAAAGAAATAAAAAATAAGACTGCTCCTCCATTCATTCGCCGCATATTGTTCCACAACTTTCTCGACTTTTCTCCTTCCCTAGATTCAACCCCTTTCGAAGGGTACGCTCATTGTTACCAGTCTTCGTGCGTCGAATAACCAAATTTCTGGCATTTTATCTCGCGAGCTTGTGCGTGAAAAATGATCTGAAAAATGAATGCAACGACTTGCGCGCAGGAAACTTAAACGCGAAAGAATTTTGCGAAAGGAAATAGTATCATATTTCTTATGGATTAGGGGATAAGAAGAAGTTGATGCTTTAGAACGAAATTATTGTAGCTACTTTTAACTAGAAATAACTCGCCAAGTCGACGGGTGCATTTGCAAATTTTTCTTTCAACTTAAACAAACGACTGTGAATGAGATAAGACAGTTCCTTAGAAGTTTCCTCCGTTCTCGAGATAAGTAGACGTTCATAATTAATAGCGGCTAATATTTCTTTGCCTATCTCGCTAAGATCCTGAACGCTTTTTATACTTTTGCTTCTCGTTTCGAGTTAAAAAGCTGATCTATTTGTACGCTCCCGTACGCGTATCTCTTTCACTGGTAAACTTTTTTAATCCACTTGCCGATATTGCTCGACGTTCGGGCAGACGGTCCGAAGGATTTTTTTGACTTTTGTTCCGTGTCAGCTTAACCAACGTTTCGGTTCGTCTACGTTTCGCAAAGTTTCTTTGCTATAACGTTATTGCATCGCTAGTATCCTCTTTAAACTCGTATCGCTTCAACGTCTCTTAGTCGATTTCTAATAACTTTACCGAAGTTACATTGTAAAATAAACGTGTCAAGGACGCTTTAAGATTTTGGAACATTGGTTCATGATCGCGGAGGAAATTGAGGTGGGAAACCGTGCGTCGCCGACCTTCCGGACGAATTTATAAAGGAGCACAGTACTACGGTACACCTCCAGCTCGAAGGATTCGAGATCAAAGATGGAAACTTAACTATTCACAGTTAATTATTTATGAATTTTAGAATCCTACTCACCTATCGTGCGCTGCTTCCTCCAAACACGTGATGACCAGCTCGAAGTCGTTCAGCTTCTTCTTCCCCAGAACGCTTTTCAAGTGTCCAGCCAACTTCTGAGCCTCGTCAGCAGGAAACTCTTGCCCCAGAAGTGACGTGATTCTAACTAGTTTGACGCTCTCGTTCCCAGCAAGGGCTTCGAAGAAGTCGTCCAGATACCTAGGATCGGATCCTCTTTCCACTTGGAAGACAACTTCGAGGGCTTCGAGTGTGCAAGCTGTACTTTCAAGGATTCTAGCCCAGCCTTCTAGCTCCAAGGGTGAGGTGTGCACCAGCGGTGCCGGTGGTCTCTCGTTTGGAGCAGGACCAAATCCAGGTCCAGCTCCGACTAGTCTACACACAGCAGAGATGTTTCCATCCGAGGCACCGGCTGCCTTCAGCAACGAGAACATAGCTCTGGGTGGCACTTCGAGTGGGCAGAGTTGATTTAATATTAGATGAGTCTTGGGCCCTAGTAAACCAGCCAGGTGGCTGATGATACCCGATGGCAATCCTTCTAATTCCCTTCTTAGTATGTTGGCGTATTGAGCGACGGAGGTGAGATAATAAGCTGCCAGGAACTCGGCTACCGCCGTATGAATCGGTGTGTAAAGCTCTGGTTTACGTCGTTGCCCGAAGGTCAGCCCTTTGGTTAGGAAACCTAGTCTAGAGACCTCGATACCACCACCCCGAGCCCTTAACTCCGCTTCCGTGTAACAACACCTGCCTTCCCTGAGCGCTGCCAGAGATAATTTCCCAAAATCCTCAAGTCGCTTCCTGCAATGACCAGGAACCTCCTCGCTGTAGGGAACCGGTGGATCCAGGCTCCTTCTGACGATACACTTCACCGCAGCTTGGACCAACGCGCTTGTCTCCGTTGGTAAACTACCCGAGTCCTAAGGAACGGAAGGGTGAGCTTTGAAGCAATCATTTCTACGCTAGTTCACCGATAATCTAAATGTCAGACGACACTCTGGAAGAGAAAACACAAGTGTGCTTCGGTTGAACCGCAATAAATACCTGATAGAGACAGCAGAGCATAATCCAACCCAACGGGTGCTGACCAAGCTGCTTCACGGTCTGCGGTTGGACGTTCAACGCCTCGAGGAACTCGCAAGCCTTTTCCGCGATGTCGTTGTGAATGAAATAAGCGACGCACAGCCTCTCGACGTGGGACCACTCGAGACCAGCCAGATGAATCCTCCTTTGAACGAGCGGTGACAGGACACCGGAATTGTTCGGCGAACAAGTGACCAGGATCCTGGCGTCAGGGAACAGCCGTCCTTCGAGAAGGTCCACTGCGTCGCCAAGGGATGCCCTACCACCCACGCATTCGTCGTAACCGTCCAGGATAAATAGAACACGATCCTCCATCAAGTGCAGCGTTCGCCAGACTTGAGTGACAGCGTCGCCGATGGCTGCTGTCCTGGGGAACAGTTCTCTGGCCAAATAATTCAACACAGGGCTGCCGCGTAGCTCTCGAAGAGGAACGATGAAGGCTAAGGCTGGACCATCGCCTTGGATCGCCCATTGGTGGAGAAGCCGAAGGCATAGGGTCGTTCTTCCGCTTCCTGGGCCACCCTCGATGGCCACGCGACGGGGTGCTTCTGAAACTGTGCCATCGCTTAGCTGGAACAAAAGAATTTTTCATTTTGTTATTATAAAAATTGTCGTGTAACAAGGAGTACAATTATCAATAACGAGTGGTTCTTCGAATAGGATTACTAGTTCGAGCGAGAGGTTTCAAGTTCTAATTGGTTAGCAGCTGGGGATCAGGAAACCGAGAAGTATCCGAGAAACTGGTCACGAAGTCGCTAACTTTCTTTCTTATTGCTGCTCTGGCTGTCTACCTTTTCGAAGAACGAGCTTCCGGTACACAGGGAAACTGTTCGTGATTCATCGTACCGCCTCGATCCTCTTATTCCCTCCGAGTTCCACATCGTGCTCGAGATTCATTAAGAAATATCGACACGAACAACCTGAAGAACGCTCTTTTACGAGAATAAACAGGATAGAATCTCGTGTACGAACATCGACGACCTGTTTTTCCGATCTCGTTTCCAGGATAAATCCATATCGAAGAATCGTAAGCCCTTTAAACGCCATCCATGCTTGCACGAAACATGAATTTACCTATCGATCAAATCTTTTCTTCAGGGGAAACACCGAGTTTAACCTTCCTTCGGGGATGAAAGAGCGGAGAATATATATTGTGAAAATGGTACCCCGTTCGGTGCAACTAAATGCATCGTAAAAGAAAGTAGGGGTATAAAAGACGTGCTCCGTTATGCAGGTCTCGCGGAAGCTTTTCTTGTTTTCTTTTAACAAGAACGATCTTGAAGAGGTTTACATCAAGGAGCATTAGCAGTACTACAATAAATATAAGCTACATATAAAATAAATTGGATTTTCGACTTATTTTCAAATATAAAATCTTCGCGATCTTATTTTTAGCGTACGACGCAGTCGATAACAATTTGGCAAGCTAAACGAAACCCATGCAACCTATCGAGACAGTGAAACGCTCGTTTCGTTTTCCCCCGACTCACCCATCCGCTAAACATCTCAATCTAGCTTTAATACCGGCAATATCTACCGGCAGCCTTGCGAACCCGAAGATTTATCGAAGCCACGATAAATCCGACTGCTGTGCCGCGAAATCTCCTTATCTGCCAGATACACGTACTCCACTCGCTTCCATCCGTTTCGATTTCTCCGGTAGGAAAGGTCGGAACATGTGGCTGATGTGTCACTGTCGTGGAAATATTAGACACCACGGGGAACGTGGGAATAAGCGAACAATACAGAGAGTTTCAAGAAACAGTGTCTATACTCTGTCCAATGTAATTACCTATCGATCTGGCGCATACGATTTGTCGCGACTCCTACTGATAACGGTACTGTACAGATTGGGGGTGATATCAGTGTATAAGGAATTAATTGTCACCACGTATGAAAAAAGAGAATAACGTATGTTTCGGACGTCGTTTTTACGTTGGACAGAGAGATTCTATTTCATTTTCATGGGTTTTTCGTCCAAGTCACGTTGCGACAATCTTTTCCTTCGAAAGGGAACAAGGAGTACGAACGAAAGGGACGCATAAGAAATCGACGTTCGCGGTGCAATTAAACGAGCCCATTCACCTGAGAGCTCGATTTCTGAGAGTCCTTCCGACGAACAAAAGGGGTAAAGGCTGCTCGTTGAGCATTCCGCCAGAAGTTATCAGCGTGGCCGGGCGTAAAAAAGGCTTTCGAGAAACGTTAACGAAGCGAACTCGGCCATCTTATCGAGCCCACGACAGAACAATGCCTCGTTACGCGAAGCAGAACGGCGCGGCGGTCTCGTTCGTTTCTTGATCGTCGTTCGCATCTTACTGGCGCGATTAAAAGCTTCTTTATTCGAACCATCGAAAGAGTTATGCCGCTGCGGCGACACTCGATGCAGAGATAATATCAGAAACTACGACATCGACGAGCCACCAACGGCCGTCGTCATCGGCTTTCGAAGAATCACCTTACCCATTTAGCGACGTTAATTAACTTTTCAAATCTTAATCTTTACTCGAGATCAGAAAGGCAAGCATAAAATACGTTCAATTCTTTATTCCATCGCTGTTAGAATATGTCCAGCCTGAATTCGTTTCGTATAAGACATCGAATTTATTTTGCATCGATAAGGACTCGATGTTCTCGGCAGTGTACCGGATTCGAGGAAGAATACTTCCAACGAATACTCGACTTCCAAATTCCGTTTAGCAAAAGGCTGCTACCTCTCGAGAGGCTCTCTGTTCGATTGCTAAAGAATTCTCTTGATCAGAAAGCGAGGCGTATCGAAACTTCCTACGTGATTCGCCGACTTTGCCCGGGGAGAATTCATCTTTCATGGGAACAAACATCGACGGAAGGAACACAGTGGTTCCAAGTGAATCCGAGATATCCACAGAGTACAAGCTCGTCTTTGCTTTATCTTCCATTTCCAGCAGCAGTTTAACTCTCTTCTTTCTCTTTATCTCGAACGCGATTTCTTCTCTCTTTCTTTATTTTAAACGTTCTTTTCTGAGTACACTTTGAAAGCTAACATTTCAGAGAATTCTCACGGAACAGAATCGCGGAGGTAGGATTTTTATCAGACATTTCTTAACGCCAAGTTTTTCCTTCGGAAACATCCCTCGTCCCGCTAACTGCCGCGAAAACTGGTCGTCGGCAAAGTTTTACGAGCAACGTCAACAACCACCGAGTATATACGGGAGGAGATACCGCGCTATTTCCAACGGATGATTTATAGTACTTACCCTGACAGGAGCGAAGATCTGGTCGGTCTTGATGTTCTCCAGTCTGTGTTCCTGCTCCCCTTTGTGGAGCAGTTGCAGGTGGGGTTGAAAGTGTGCTGGACAAAGGGTGCCAAGCGGAAGTGGCGACGCCCATCCCGGCAAATGGGGTGGATCACGAGTGCCTAGCTCTCTGTAGAAGGTCTTCAGGAATCTGAAAGCAGTCGAGAGTTTCCAGTTTAACCGCGACTTTGCGGACCGCATGGAATGTTCAATGAATTTGCTTAATTATCTTAAGTTGCCCGGTAATGGAACGAGTCTTAAGTAGTTACGATTCAACGATTCCTTTGATTTTCATCGTAAACCGATTGAAAAATACATCGTCTAATTAAAAAATTTCATCAAACACAAACGAGTTTCTTAACGCATTTCGATATTGAATATAAACGGGAGCAAATCGAAGAAGAATTTGCTTTTCAAACTCCTGCATCACGTTAGACGGAAAGTTCCGGGGGTTGGAAACTTTCATAAATTTACCAATCGATCGAAGTCGCCGCAACAAACGACCGTAAGAACGAGCTCGACAAACTCGTTTAGCCCCAATTTAAACTCGAGCCAAAGAAAAGGTTTTTGAAAGCGAGCGATCTTCTTGCTCAAGTTCTTTTTATAAGACCGCCACTAAAATGCCAATTAATTCGCGTTAGGGTGCGCTAAACCCGTGGGATTTAAGAGCCGTTCGCTTATCGAGTCACTGCTTAATTTCCCCAGCGACGATGCCGTAATCACTAGCTTAAGTGGTAGTATCGCGTTGAACGATGCATTCGTTGCACGTTGCACCGAAGATTGATGAGTTCAGACTCGTAGGAATGCAGGTGGATCGAACGTGGAAAGGGCGACGGTTTACGACTTCTGCATGATTAACTCTTGATCCAACATTGACTTTATGATTTAATCTTCCGTTTACCGATAAATAGCTACTATGAAATTTTATGGGCCATTTTCGTCATTGCATAATACGTTATTTCAATACGATCGATAGGAAGATGGAATCCTTGATAAGGGTAACATTTTTCACGTTTCACTGACTGGAAAGAGGTTGTAAACGATAACCATCTGAGAAGAAAGACGATGGAACTGACCTTAACAGTCTTCCCAGGGGATCCCTTTCCGGTGACGGTGGTCCACCGATTCCACTTCCGGCGCCGAGTCTTCGCGAGGACGCACGTGCGCTCGATATGTATGCGGCTGGAGCTGGGGGTGGGCTGCAAGGCGGGCAACAAACGGGGCTGCTACCCCCTGGGGTCGACAGGGTATAACTCCTCTCCAATTCCTGAAACAAAAGAAGATGGAAGGGGCTTTAGTTAGATCCCTCGAATTGCTCATTCTTTGTTTTCTCCGTCGCATTTATTTTGTTATCGTCGTTACGGATAAAACATTCTTATCGAGATAAGAGTCTTAATTTGGAAACTAATTAGGCTTCGTTATTTTCGGTTCTCGAACCAGCTCGTATATCATCAAACGCTAAGCAAAGAACCAGTCTATTACGCAACTGCTGAATCATCGAGCAATGAAAGTGCCTTAATTAACTGCTGATCAGCCGAGCAAACGTTCATTAACGAAATCCATAATTACTTCAAAAGGAACGATCGCTTCATTTTTTTCTATCCTTCCCAAGGAAGTAACTGATTGTTTGCTCGAAATTAAAGAAAATTTCGCAAGACAGGAGTTTAATGGAGGAACGAATTCGTCAGACGATAATCATCGAGGCGAAGCACGGCATACGTTGTTCGAGGCTCGTTTCTTTACCGAGAAACGGTTTTATTCGGTCGGTCACGTCGGTGATCGGTTCGCGAGTGAAAAAGAGCTTACGGTCAGCGATAGCAGCCGTCTTTTCAATCGTAATGCTTCCTCAATGGCTACGTGAGCGAAGATAAGTCGGTCAGAAATAGGGGAGAACCGAGAGTTACCCCTTTCCTCCACGGCTTTTTCACCCTCAGCCCCCGTCTGCCGTGGCTTTTATCACGGGACCAATTTTCTTCGACGTGGCATAGACACACCGTAACGCGCTGCTTCTCCACCCCCTCGATTTTTCTTCTACCTTTTCTTTCTTTTCTTCGCCCCGATCCCCGTGTTCCTTTCCTACCAGCAACCGTGCTCGATATCGACTCGGAGAACACTTTGAACAATGAATCAAACGGACTGGGTGACTTATCGAAATTAGTCGCCGTACCATCGTCTGCGGCCAACGGGAGGGTGAATCGAGCTCGCCGATTCAAGGGGATGATTCGATATCTTTCACACTGTTTTCCTGTAATTTCTAAATATTCTCTATATATCCAAGGGGATGATTCTTCTACCAAAGCGTACAGCGATCATCCCCTACGAACACTATACAAAAAACGATATGATAAACCGGGGAATTGAAGCAAACAGCAAATAATTAACGGTATAAAAAGCAAACGACAAGGGTGGAAGAGGAAAAAGTGTGCATGGTTCACCGAGGGAAAAGAGAGCACATGAACGCGACAACAAAAACCGGACGAGTTATCGAATGAACGTGTTTCCTTCGGCTAACTGGGCCGCAACCGGGTCGACAACAGGGATTAACTGTTTTGTCTCTGGTCTGGTTCGATGGTGAACTACTTTTCCGGGACGAAGATGTGGCACGCGACTACCGTTGTGTACGCTCACGACGATGAAAGGCTGAATTGAAACGCGCGAATGACCCGTGCAACTTTTAGGTCAAACTCTGCGTCGCCAAGCAATTACGGAGATAACGAACTGCATTCAAGCTGGCTCTATTAAAAGTATAAAGACTAGTTTAATTCAATGGGCCCGGAAAAGGCAAGTTCTTTTTTTTTCTTTTTTAAAGCTGCACTGTTCGTTTGAACGTGTGGAAATATGATTTGAAACGCGAATAGCATTACTGTTATACGTGTTAATAATACGCATTATGCACGCCTGATTCTACCGTGAATGTTAATGCATCCTGCGCAGAAATATCCTTTATTTAATTATGTAACAGGGAAGAGAGGAAGTTTATGAAGCAAAAGTTGGGGATGTAAAGATAGCTGAAAAGGAGGATGCAATTCTTCACGTTGTTACAAAGTTCCAACGGATTATTCGGGGGTTTCGAATAAACTAAACTTTAGAAATAAGTCTGAATGGAAACGTCCAAAGGATATTGGGGTCAGAAGGAAGCGCCTGGTTGCCTGCGACGTAAACAACGAAAAATCGAGATGAAAGAAATGGTTGACACGGTGAACCAATATCTCAAGGCGCTGCAGCTAGTTCGAAAGAAAACAATTAACTTAAAAAACAGAGAGGACAAATAGGATAGTCCTTTATAAAATAAAATTTAATCGAATTATTCAGGGAGATATTCTACGCTTAGGAGGCAACGAGTTGAACAATAAATCCAAATACCCTTGGCATTTAATTTGATCGATTAACGTTGCGATCGAACGGAAGTCGTTACAGAAAGCTACCGCATCGAGCGAGATTAATAACCGAGGCTAATGCGATTAGCGGGTTTAATTACCAACGCGTGCCGCGTAATCTTTTGAACGGCGTTTAGAATTGATCGGTGTATTCTCGGTTCGGTTGTCTTCTCTAATTGTAAGCTGCTTTTATTTTTCATCACGATTTCAAAGCGAGAAACGTTTATCTACCAAACTAAATTACATTTGTCCTACGATAATTTGTCAAAAGAGCAGTGCATTCTCACTGTACACCATAAGTAATGAACCACTTTCAACGAATAAATCTCGGCGTCGTTGAAACAAAAGCTTCGAGCTCGAGCAAGAAGAGGAGAACAATGCCGGACTATCACAATGGTGGACAAAATTATGGTGGTCGCGGCGAATCGGTTATCAAAATCGGCAAACAAAGGTCGGCCATGGATCGAAAGGGTGGCGGATGGTAGAAGAAGAGGGATGAAAATCGATGGACGGTCACGACACAAGGGCGCGGAGGGACGCGAATCCCGAGGAATCCCAGCGTTAAAGTTCCATCACCGGGACGGAAGTTAATTTAATCCTGATCCAATTAAACCGGATATAACGTTAAGCCTGCTGGCGGGGTGTAGTTGGCCGTGCACGGTTAACGTGCCTGCGCTGACCGTGCCAGTTAACCGCTGCGTAAATTGGAAATTGGCCCCCCCGTCCAATAAATATCGGATTAGCCAATAAATCGGACGGAAAACGGCGATGCGTTATAGGTATAGAAGCCCGACGAATTTAACGGCTGTTGTCATTTCCATGGCGAATTAGCACCGATAAGAACAGCCATTTCTAGGGGCAACGCTTCGTTCGGAAAAGTTGGAATAATAAAAAATGAGAAAATCTGACGGTTCGTAAAGCTTCTTCTTCGCAAAAGCTCTTCGATAGTTGGATTGGATTTACGGGTATCGTTTAGGGGTCGATACGAAAACTACTGCTATATATTAGCCATTTATTATCCGCGACGTTAGCATCGATTCTCTCGACTCGAGCTGGAAAAAGGGGTCGGCCGACTCGAGCGCATGGGTTAAGGTATTTTTCGAAACGCTCTTCTCGATTTACGTCACGTCGTATTAGCCTCGATTTATGCGACCTAGCGTCGAATATCTACGTCGTTATGGGACAAGTTACGCAAAATTCGCGTAGAAACCGTTCCGACGGTGAACCGATGCTTTCCAACTTCTCTTCGAGGTTTATGGAGTTCCATGCTTTTACGAGAACACAAGCTCGCTTTACGAGCAACACTTGTACACCAATCCCCTTGGGTATTGTTCGAATACGAATTTCAAATAAAACAAAGATATATTCGGAAACTACTTTGCTGCTTCGATAGACTAATGAATATTACCGTTAACGAAGGCGACAATAAGACGATTTCAATTATATCCAAGAAAACTTCGTTCTGCTTTCTTCGATTTCTCCCGATCAAGTCGTCGAGATAATAAAGTATTATCCCCGACCCTCGATCCCCACCTCGGCGAATCGCTCCGAGATTTACTGCCGCGATTCTTTCTTCCGACAGCCCTGATTCTTAATGAAGATCCGCTTTCGCGCACTTCCAGCGAAGAAACAGAGATTACTTGAGAAATGTGCGAGAATCGGATAGGAACGAATGACTGTAATTACAGAGGACGTTGTTACGAACGATGGATCAAAATCGTGAGGATATTTATCAATTTTATTTCGTCGATAAACATTTCAGGAGGATTAATATTAACAGCGAGAATTGTAATGCAATAATAATCATCGAAACGGGTCGCACACGCAAAATGCGAGCGATTCCCATCGATTGCCAACAATTTACAAACGCCTCGTTCTGTTGTACAATTCGAATAATAAAAATATTACCGGCTAACCCCTATAGAATGACTCGTTCAGGCCGTGTCTCCCTCTCATCCCCTCGACACCGGTATAATGGGCTGTAAAACGGACGAATGACAAACACACCCACGCACCCACACTCGGATCGCTTTTAGATTTGATCGCGGTTATTATCGTGAATTACGATCGGCTGATAGGTCCCTCGAAATTCGAATAGGCCATTAAATCGAACGGCTAAATCGCTTGTTCTAGGTCGTCGTGAAAAATCGGTATTCCGTCGATAGTTGGAGGTACAATCGCGTAGATCAACACTGATTAATTAGTGTTCGAAATTTTGGAAAATTTGCATTTTTGGTAAAGTTTAAAATATGAATAATAAAAGAAAAATGATTATTTAGTTCGATTCGTCTGATACATACAACTTCATTCGAAATGCCGACACAAATTGTACACATGCACGAGAGTTCGACGTCCAGCGAGCCGCTCCGAGCAGGTCCTTTATCCACGCTTCGCCACCCTCTAAATATTCATGAACAATCTTGCGGTAATTCGCTTCGTTGTGACGTGATTCGATGCATCCGAGGGACACGTGTAGGATCGTCGTGTCGGTCCGTTGCGCCTCGACGCTCGCCGTCGAGCAGCGTAATTGTCCGTGAAACGTAATCGAAAGACCAACAGTTTACTCCGTGAGGAGTAACCTTCGACGGTTGTTGAAAAATCTTTAACCCCCGTGCGATTTCCTTAACATCGAAAAGTCGGTATACTTTACGAAGACGGTGAACCAGTGTCTCCGGTAGAGAGACACGTTTTCCATTTCAAGCCCGTTACACGTCTCTGCATTTCATTATACCCAACTTTCCAGCTCCTTCAAGCGTGCATATAAAAGCTCGTCTCTTACGTCGAGCACTTTTCCCCCGTTCGATATTTACTTTTTACGAAGCCTCCTTCCCGCCCGTTTTCGCTCGCACTCGATGTAATAACCCCTTTTTGCAACCAGGTCACGGAATTT